AGATTATAAAATACATCAAAAAATGAATGTCCAGGGTTGAAATGTTATGCTATTACTACTGCTGTCCTCTCCTTACCTGCTTTCCTTTTTATTACTGCACATTTCTATGAGCAATTTACTTTAGGCCTAAATCCTTCCTTATTGTTGTTATCTTTACATACATTTTTCAAAACGTAATTTTAGTTCAATAGACTTACTTTCATATTGTGGCCTATAACATTTGGAATTATCGCATCTTCTAAAGTTTCACCTGGTTAACTGGGACATTGTAAGAATAAAGTTTACTATTGTCACATGAAAGTCAAATGGGAGTGCATCCTTCATCCTTCAGTCCAGAGTACATCCTTGAGACAAGAGCAAAAGACACAGAGTTCTTAGTCACACTTTAATGAGTCATAACCACTTGAACTTTGTCCAGGTCAAGCCTACAACTACAGGTTCAGCACATGTCAGCTTAATCATTGAGCACCCTGTCTGTAGTAATTATAGCAATACTTAAATACTTTTGTAGAATTCTGCTAACAATAGACAAATATTTTGGTAATCGAAGAGAAATGTGCAGATTTGATGTTTAGGGCTCTTATTGCACTATTTTCTGATCTATAATAATGTTGTTTTCTCACCAAAAACATACCTGGAGTTGTGTTTTGTTTCATCACACCTTCATCCTGCATTTTTAGGCTAACTTCTTCTCTCAAACAGAAAACACTCTTCCAACTTGTGGTGTCATGTGGTGATGCATGATGTGCTCCACTGTGTTTTTAAACTCCATACACCTTCATTAGATATATTTGGATAATTTCAGCCTGAGCAAAAGGTAAAATGTAGCTGTTATCTTGAAAACTACTACTTCATCACATCAAAAGGTGGAGCAGAGCATTTTGAGCTTTGAAAATGTAGACAGACTAATAATAAAGGATTACTCAGACATGTGTAAATGAAACAAAACATAGCTCCTGGTTTGTTTTTGATGAGGTAACATTATAGCATGGCTTAAAGCTCATAATTTTGCGTAATATAGGATCTTAAAGTATCAGAGAAATGTAAAATTACTGTAACTATACCTACAAAAATGCTGAAATATACTTTTATTTTTCAGCAGCTTTCAGTAGCAGCATTATTTTATTTTGTTGTACTGTATTTGCACAGTGTATATCTTCAAAACAACATTCACAATATTGGTGTCATAATTTGATCTATTGCCCAGGGTGCAGAGGAGTTTTTTATGTAATATTCTTGCATAATTTAATCTTAACAACACTTGAAGTTAGAGAAACAGGTTTGACCAGTGCATCAACAGCACGATTTCCACCTCTCATTGTGCCCTCTGCCTGGTTTTAAATTAGTCTGTATTTCCTCCTACGTACAGTGCTGTGTGCAAAATGTATGCATTGTTCAGTCAGTTTTCTGGTTTTCCTGATTGTCTCTATGGAGATGTCATTGCTTTACCTGGAATGTTCCACAGTATGGCACAAATACAAATCTATTACAGGTGATAATTGCTTAAAAATACCTTATTAAACAGGAGTTCTTAGTACGGCGGGTAATCAAACCCAGGACCTTCTTGCTGTGTGTCAAGACACTAATCACCTTCGAGATGCTTTTTAAAAAAAAATATATATATATAATAGTTTACTTTATTGCTCACTTTTGCAATTTAATTCTGTGTTGTGTTGTACATCAAGAGCAATCATAGTCAACAAATTATTTTATTTAGACAACAGTGGAGAGTGGATTATCTGAAGATTTGATTGTGATGTTTAAAGGACTCATATTACATTATTTTCTGATCTGTTTTTTGTTTTCTGTTTTGTTTCATTCACACATGTTAACTTGAAAACTACCGTTTCATGACATCACAGGGTGGAACAGAACATTTTGAGCATTGGAGATCAAGACAGACTAATAATAAAGGATGACTCACTTCTGTGTGAATGAAACAAAGCACAACTTGTATGTGATTGATAAGGCAACAACATTCTCACATGGCTTAAAGCACACAGGAGTCAATATTGCGTAATATAAATCATTTAAATATGCCTTTTTGTAGTACTTTTCTGTATAAATAGTTGTTTGTCTGAACTCCACTTAAGTTGTAGTATTCTGAGTGTGGTTACATGGTCAGATCATAGAGATAATAAATTGTTTTTGAACTGGATAACTTTTGCCACACCCTCTTTTAGATCAGCAAGACATGTCTTTAGTCGACCAAGAATCTCTTTAGCAAAGTTACAAGCTACTTTGAGAGACCGATAGATTTTATTATATGTAAAAGGCCCTTGTTACTTTAACCTTTTGTAAAATGCCTTTAGGTCAATTTTGAATCATGGCCTGAACATTGCTAGAAAAAAACACTGGTTAGACAAGTTTCACAGTTGTTTTCTAATGAGATTAAAAGGGAAAGGGTGTAAGTGTTTGTGTATGTGTTTTGGCATGTGTTATTGTGTCCTTGAGCAAACCACGCAAGATCATTTTACGGTTTTCTGTTGAGATTAAAATGGAAACATTGCCAGTATGTTTGTGTGTTTTAGCATGTGTTGTAGCATGTGTTGTTGTGTCCTTGAGCAAAGCATGCAACCTCATTTCATTCATGCGGCCATAGGTAGCATCTTGGAATCCAGGAGGTGTGAACGTGTGGAGTGCTCTGAGTTTAGACCAGGGTCGTTCTAACCTCTGGACTTATATAAGCAACCGGCATGTTTTTGTCATGAGATCAAGTAAGATACAAGGAAACATTAGGGTTTCCGTAAAGGGACATATTTGGGAATGTGAAAAGGAGGTGTTATGCAAAATCTACTCTTTGGAGCTGTCTACCGTGTTATAACGTGCCTGAAGTAACTTGAGATGTCATCCAGGCATGTTTCAGTAATTTAGTGATCTCTCCCGTGTTATATTCTTTCCTTATGGTTAGCAGTATGATTCTGTCCAATGCTCAGCCACTGTTTTGGGCAAATATAGTATTTTCAAAACAATAACACCATATTATTACCAGGGTTCCCATGGTCATGGAAATCTTGGAAAAGTCATGGAAATTGAAAATGTCATTTTCCAGGCCTGGAAAAGTCATCAAATTTTATAAATTCAATTAAAGTTGTGGAAAAATCTTGGAATTTTAGTATCTCTGTCACACAACTACATGAAAGAGATAAGTTCTGTTAAGTTGTTAGGCATTATGATTATTTCCAAACGTATGCACCTTTTGTTTAAAAGAGACCACAATAAATGCACTGACAGTATTTTGAATGTTAAAAAACTATAATACCAAACCATAAGGTGAGTGGAAAGGATTAATATTTAATATTTAGCCCTAATAGTATGCTCAATCCTACACATGTAGAAAAGTAAAAGTCAGGGAAAATTACTTTAGATCATGAAAAAGTCAAGGAAAAGTCAGTGAAGAGTGAGAACCCTGGTGATATAAAAATGTAGCAGTTATCATTTAATACCTTGCTTGTTTTGTTTGTTTTGTTTTGTCTTTGTAGTGGGTTGTGAAGCTCTCCTCCTCTTCTCTCTAAGCTCATATCAGTTTTTACAATTGTGTCTCTAGTTACATGGTTTATTGTATTTTATTACATTATCTATTGTAAACTGTATATTGTTTGGCCGACATTGGCGCTAATCATTTTATACGACAATAACCATTATTGTAGAAACAGTGAAATGGCCATAGACACAGAAGCACAGGGCTGTACATCAAATTGGCAGTTAAGTGGGACTAAAGAGGGTCAATGCTAGGACTAAACTGTGATCGGATCAAACCAGATTATAGCATAATTTCTTTAGCACCACTATCCCAGTATTAAAGGTTCTATATTGTGCAGTTAGTTCTGCTCGATTATGGAAAATCATTATCACGATTATTTTGATCAATACTGAAAATCACGATTATTTAAACGATTATTTTTTAGTTACAGGATGCATTTATTCAGCATTTTTTTGATGAGGATAGAATATTATAACATGGATCAAAAATTAGCTTAATATAGGCCCTTTAATTTGAACACAGCCCTGCAAAACAATATTCTAGTGGCCACGTTACCGGCACCTCAGCGTCTTGTTTGCTTTGGTCTTTATTGTATCTTTGGCACACCTGTTTTGAGTGATCAGTTGACTCTTTTGGGGGGAGGAGGTGGGATAACTCAGTGGATTAACTGTCCCGTGTTGTTGCTGCAGTTCACACATTCCTACATGCCAGTCCAGGATAAGCAATCCTGCTCCTTCTGTGTCCTCATATCTCCCATTTTCTATGAGTTTTTGTTGAGTCATAGCAAAGTAGTTTCCAGTCAGGTTTGCAGGCATCTCCAACTCAGCTGTGTTTTGATCTGGGGTTGTGCTGCCATCTAGAGGCAAAATATAGAAATGCAATTCAACATACGTGAAAAACAGTAGACTAGTACAAGAACACTCTAATCAAAAGTGGAAGATTAAGTTAAGAATTATAGATACCTTACACTTTTTACCTTTAGTTTAGTAGAGTTTGGCAATTCCAGGACTGAATATAATTAAATGATATTAGTGAAGGTGTATGGAGTTTAAAAACACCTGTCTCTCCTGTTATTTATCTCTCAAATAACCACAGAGCACGTATTTATATTGAGAAAAAAAAAAGTTCATGTTATGGGCCGACTACGACCAGTAAATAGTATGATTACATGGATTTATATGCCAACCAGAACATCGACTGAATCAATATCTGTAAACCAATATCCGAACCAGCAAATTTTCCAGTATTGGCGGTAATATCTAATACCATATCGCTGCTTCCCTGATCATCGTCTGTGCAGTCTTTATGTGTTGTTGTATTCTGGTCTGTAAAATGCTGTTCATAATTTAGTAATATGATTTCTCCTGGACATATTCAATATGTGCATTTACAACTAATCCTATAATTTCTAATCTAATTGCAATGTTATTAAAAAATAATCTTCTCTACTCTCAATATAACTCTTACTTTACCGTACTAAAACTGTTCTCCCTTTGTATTTCTGTTTATTTTCTAGGGTCGCGTGGAGGTGGAGGCAGGCAATGAGAACATGAAGTTTGAGAGTGGACCTTTCTCATACTATGGTGTCATGGCCCTCAGCGCTCCTGCTCTGGGTGAGTCCTCCCATCACCTCTGGCCCAAAATAACCCATGTATTGTCAAAGGAGCTCATTTTGTGGACAGCTGTCGATCAGGCCTAATTTCTTATTTTAGTTGTAAAATACCCGCTACTGCATCTCAAATCTGCACCAAAGCAAACACACACAGGTGAAACGCAGGAACTCATTCGTCAGTTTTTGTTTACGTAAGATTAACGGTTTAGTGCTTCGCTCATTAAAAACATACTTCTTTGCAGCCTGGTCAGGATTATAAAAGGGGAAAAGCTGCACAGATACCTAGAGATTCAAGTTAAATATGGCAAGTTTATGAAAATGTCCCCAATAAATCTATTATTTGGCTAAATTGTAAATGTAAGAAATCCAAACTCATTCAAACTCACATGTATTTCTGGTTTCTTTATTGGAGCAGGGTTCAGTGAGTGCACCCGGGTGGGTCAGGTGTTAGCTGGAATGTAGTCTAAATGTCTAAAATGTCCCCCAACCATGACCTTTGACCTCTCCTCCTTGCTCTCCACTCCTCATAATCAAACAGCCACTCCCTCTTGTGCTATATTTAAATGTAAAATGTTTGAATTGTGTATCTCCTTAACACGTTTTTCTTGCAGGTTATCTTTTTTTTACTTTAACTTTAAATGTCATCTCAGCAGCAGTGATTATCAAGATCTCCTGGAGGTGGAGGTGGGCAATATTGGAAAAGAAATCTTAATATTTTGAGGATTACAACAGTACCGTAATCAGTTTTCCCCCATACAATCTGATTTTCTCTTTCATATTAAAGGTGCATTGTGTAACTTTTGTTGTGGAGGGTCTGTCAAATGCTTTTCTCCACAGAGATGTTATTGCTTTGTCTGGAGTGTTTCAGAGTATGGCATTAAACCTTCCTATCTTCATGGAGACCAATCCGGACCAAGTTACAGGTCTGATCTGCGGAGAGGCAACCTCACTCGCAGTCAAAATGCCTGTTTTTCTATGTATTTTTGAGCTATAAAACCACCTGTAATTTAATAAATGTAAAGTAGAGCTGTTTAATGTCATACTGTGGAACATTTCAGCCAGAGCAATGACACATCCATAGAAACAAGCAGGTCACGGACCCCCAAACAAAAAGTTGCACCTTTGAGTGGAATATGGTAATTTGATTATAGTGAAAATTTCCTCAGAATACTTATTAACGCAAACTGTTTCAAGGTGCATTGTGTAACTTTTCTGGTAGATAGGCTGCCATCTGCTGGTCATCATGGAGTTCACAGTTCACAGTTAGATTGATGCATGTTTTAAGTATTTTTGACCAATAAAAACAACAAATAAATGCTATATAGGTACATTTAATGCCATACTGTGAAACACTCCACGTAAAACAATAGCATTTCCATGGAGACGAGCAGGTGGCGGACCCAACACCAGCAAAGTTAAGTTACACTGTCACGTTTAAGATAGGCCTAGTGGCTATTTCAGTGCTCCTTCAATTCATACATTTACAAAACAAATCTTTGAGTCAATACTGCCCACCTTTACCTGTATGATTTTATTTATTTATTTATTTATTTTTTGTTTTTTACTGTTGTGTCCTCTCTCGTATGTGTCTGATTATGTCTGACTGTCCCCCCTTCCTCCCCCTCTGTCCTGTCTCAGTGGCCGCTCCTCGCCATCGTCACCTCTCCTTTAAGAGGTTTTCTCTGTTCTCTCGGTTGCCAGGTAACCTCCGGCATGTCTGGGTGCTTTAACATTAGAGGATGGATGCCTAGCACTAAGTTAGCTACATGTGCGTTTTAAAAGGTTACACTGACGAAAGAAGTCTGACCTGCTTATTCAGATATTTGTTTTGCTTTAAAGTGGAAAACGAGGTAGAATTCAATTAAAACTTTGAATGGGAACAATTAGCAACTCACAAAAACTGGAATTATATAGTGTAAGTAATATAATATCCTTTGCAAAAGATTCAATTTACCAGTCCAAACTTTTTCTAAAGGGCTACATGTCGTAAAACGTAAATGAAGAGGAGGGCTGATTGAGAGCGATAGACTGGTGGTCAATACAGTGAAGATTTTAAAAAGTACATTTAAACCTGGTTAGAATGACTCACCAGAGTTTTATTCACGCTTAGATCCTCAACAGGACACACTTGGCCTGTCACTAGGGCTGCTCGATTATGGAAAAAATCATCAGAATTATTTTGGTCAATATTGAAATCACAATTATTCAAATTACTATTTTTTTAGTTACACAATGCATTTATTCAGCATTCCTCTCTCTCAAAAAACAAACAAAAAAAAACAAAACACTTTGTTATTGAAAATTTGCACAAAATTTCAAAATGAAAATTAATAAAGGCTACAAATATGTAACTTAGAGCAGTTTTGCGATGTATAAAACATAAAATGAATAAAATATACTTTGAACATGAAATAAGGCATAGAAAAACATAAATGTATCCAAAATAAACTATATATCCAGCTGTTCTACCAACTCTATATTTTAAAAAATAATAATAAATATACCTGTTTATATAAAAAATATCCCAAAATAGACTTAGTTAAACTTTATCGATTCAACTTGATTATATGAGTTTGGAGATCGTTTGACACACAAATCGAAATCGCGATCAAAATACAATTAACTGCACAGGCTTACTTGACACAGTAACAAACTTTGAAGCACGATATATTGCTACAAATAAATACAGCGCTAACGATAATACTGAAACCACTTTATGCTACTGACACAATAACAATAATGCAAGAAAATCCAAATAAACCATTTTTAAAATAGACAGTATCATTCAAAAAGCCTGAGCTGCAACAAATACATAGCAGAATAAACCAGTTATTAGCCATAGAAGTTATTTATTCAGCCCTCTACAGCTCAAATTGTATCATTTTACAACAAAAATACCTCAAATCTCCCCACTTTAATAAAGAAAATGTATATACAATAAATACTGATCCCCAAAATATATTGCTCCATCTGACATGTGTTGAACAATAAGTTGATATAGCAATTATCATGAGCGGCTTTACTAAATATTAGATTTATCAAGGTAGACGTTCAAAATCCTGAAATATAAAGTACTTTTGAGGTAATACGGGCCATTTCACCCGTAATTTTGGACATGTCTGAAATATAGCTTTGTCTCCAGGGGGATTTTATTACAACGTAAAACCTGCTCAACCTGTTCAGACATGTTCAAATGTGATATGTGTCTTAAGAGTTAATGTGACAGCGTTTTCACAAATGATGAGTAAAACGTTTGCACTCTGAACTGAATCTTATCATTTCTAAAACATCAAGTGCAGTTAAATTATCAGAGACTATGGATTTTCCCTCAAATTACACATATCCCTAGAGCAGGTTACATCATTGGTTAAAGCCAAATCTATCCATCTTTTACTTAAGCGTGCACTGTGTAACTTTCTTGTCAGAGGGTCCACTATGTGTTTGTTATGGTGATGTTATTGTTTGCCTTGAATGTTCCACAGTATGACATTAGTGTTATGTATTTTGCATTTATACATTGATATGGACACGTTAAATGCCATACTGTGGAATTTTCAAGACAAAGCAGTCTTCATGGAGACAAAAATTACTCAGTGCACCTTTAATTATGATATTATAGTTGCAGATTTCCTATTATCAATATAAAAAGATTCAAGTTTGCTTTTAACAATTCTTTATGCTTTATGCTCCAGTTGTTATTCAGTCTGAAGCCAAGTCAAATGAAAATCTTAGTAGAGCAAAAATGAAAGTGTATATGAAAGTGTCACATTTATTTTACCAAAAACCCAGACTGCAGGATTTTAAAGTTCAAAAATGCACACATGACTCGTTAATCAACGTGACCTTCTTTAGGAAGTGAGAGTAGATCAGCTGATGCTCCTGCAGGCTGGAGCTCTGCTTTCTAGTCTTTAAACTGATTCAGTCAATGGCCAAAAATTTAAATACACGGAAAAATTTAATAAATAATATAATAAAATAACAATAACATTAAAATAACAATTATTATTAAAATATTACTGAAACACTGCACTAATTCCATCATCATATAACATTGTCTTTCTTATTACTACTTGAAATAAGATATAGTATGTATGGCTAGTAAATTATCCCAGTTAATATTAAATTAATAATTGTTTAGCTAACATTTTGAATCTGTTAAAATTGTTTACGACATAAGCTTGCTGAGTTTAGCTTGGAACAATTGTAGCATAAATTGTTATAGGAGACTTTACAAATGCATGAAATTTATTGGATTTATGAGCATGGCTGTTATTGTTACTAGGGAAAATTGTTTAGTAGCAGATTACCATCAGGTTGGAGAAAATGTTCAGGTAACTTTATACCTGTTGACTCCCATATATTAAATTTAATACATTAAATTGCAATAAATACACAATAAATTCATACAATTTTATACACAGAAATCTTAACATGAACAAAAATCAATTTTTATTTTGTATGTGTGTGACTGTATCATTTACTAACATAGCCTACAGTAATGACAATAGTGCAGTCTAACCTCTTACTGAAAATTGTGCTAGATTGTGGCTTAACTGACTATATTAGTGTAATAAAAAGCTAATGCGTTGACGTGTCCAGGTAAAACAGTATCCTATGACTCACTGAGGCCCCCTACTGGACGACTCACACCCATGGGTAATACAGCGATGCACAGCGGATGGATGTAGTGTATTTTGCATGTGATTATTTATTGATGATTTCGAGGAAGCTGGCATGCCACAGTAAATTTTCTGACAGATGACACACACAAGACTCATTTCCACTTTCACGATGAAGAGGTAGGGCTGGAAAAGTACTACAACAATTGATTCAGACCAGTGTTTTCTATTGTAATCGACTTATCTAAGATTATGTCACACCCAGTAAACACTATTACACTATTTTAATGGTCTATGTTATAATGTTGTTTCCTCATTCACGCAGTTTTTCAGAAAACACGCTGCTCTATCTTGTGATGACATGTGGCAATACCAGAAATGCTCTACTGTATTTTTAAACTCCATGCAGTTTCTCTATAAGCCTTTAGATAATTTCAGCCCATTTCTGCAGAACTAAAACTCTTGCTTCATAACATCACAAGGTAGAACAGAGCATTTTGAGCTTTGGAGATGCAGACAGGCTCTTAATAAAGGATTAAGCAAATATGTGTTAATGAAACAAAACACAACTAATAGAAGACCTAAACATGACCAACTGAATAACAATACTATACTAATAATAATAATACTATAACTAGTTTAAAATTAGGTTACAAGATTATTATGTACAATAAGTGGCTATGAATGTGGTTATGTTTGGTGTATGAATCTGAATGCTGCAAAAATGAATTGGTTTCTTATGAGTATCCGCATGTGTGTGTCTAGTGGGCCTATGCATAAGCTTCCATTATTTGGAGAGCCATTGGAATGTATGATGTTTTAAATAACTTATTAACTTTCTTAAATATATTTCTCTATCTACTTATTGTAGTCATCAGAGCTTGGTTTGAATTCACAGTATTGTTTAGTAACAGGAACTATATTGTGTAGTTATGGAAGCATGTGGACAGAATGTGTAACAACGATGAATAAATCTGTTGTAGTCAAAGAGCCAATATTGCACTATTTTCTGATCTATGTGATAATGTTTCCTCATCAAAAACATATCTGTTTTGGCCTGGATTTGCCAGTCTCAAAAGAGACTCTCAAAAGATAAAATGTAGCTGTTAACTTGAAAACGACCACGACATGACATCACACGGTGGAACAGAACATTTTGAGCTTTGGAGATGTAGACAGACTAATAATAAAGGATTACTCAAACATGTGAAGGAAACAAAACACAACTCTAGGTATGTTTGTGATGAGGTACAAACATTAGAACATGGCTTAAAGCTCACAAGAGTAAATTTTGTGTAATAAAGGACCTTTAATGTCACGACAATGCTTTGACCGGACAAACGGACTATATATTAACCTATTTCCTTCCTTAATCCTTTGTCTCCATTGTGTCATACCATTATTAGTTTGTCTCTTATCAGACTGTCTAATAATAATAATAATAATAATAATAATAGTAATATGTGTTCTTAACAGATTCACTGCATCTTGTCTCCGATTGAAACCACCTTTACAGAAAGTAGTTTTACTGCATGAAATTAATATCTAAATGGGTTAAAATGACTTGAAATCAGAATATTAATCTCAATATTGCATAATGTAAATTTTTTGTAGAGAGTCTGTCACCCTCTTATCTCCATGGAAATGCTTTTACTTAGTTTGTTATATTCAAATCATGGCATTAAATGAAACCAAACAGGTGACACCAAAGTGTTTTAGTAGCAATGAAACTGTCTGTAACTGAATCTAGATAGATATGCTTAATGTCATACTGTGGAAGTATCCTTAAAGCAGTAACAATGGTTTGATTGGTTTATTGATTTGGGGGTGGGGGGTCCTGGTTTTAGACCTGGTTTAGTTCTGATTTAGACCTGGTTTAGATCTGGTTTAGTTCTCAGTTTAGACCTGGTTTAGACCTGGTTTTAGACCTGGTTTTAGACCTAGTTTTAGACCTGGTTTAGACCTGGTTTAGACCTGATTTTAGACCTGGTTTAGACCTAGTTTAGACCCAGTTTTAGTTTTGGTTTTGTCCTGGTTTAGTCTTGGTTTTAGACCTGGTTTAGACCTGGTTTAGTCCTGGTTTTAGACCTGGTTTTAGACCAGGTTTAGTCTGGTTTTAGTTCTGGTTTAGAGACATGGTCCATGCAGCTTATGGGAGGAGGTGTGGTCCATGTGACATACGTGAGAAGACATAGTCCACGCGGCGCACGGGCGTATGGGAGGGGGGTTTGCACTTTCGCGGCCCGGTACCAAACAACCCACAACCAGCTATCGGTCCATGGCCCAGGGGTTGGGGACCCCTGACCTATAGCATTCAGCTCCGGTCATATAAAGCTTATGAGGCGAGAGATTATAGGGTGAATTTGTAACTGAGTTCCATATTAGCAATCGGAATTTATTAACAGACTAAATAGCAAAATAAAAACACCAGGATCATGTAGAGCGGGTTAATACAAACATTTTAAATGACAGCTCACAGCAGCAGTTACAGAGAGACGGGTCACAATTTTTCAGTGTCAAGTCAATTGGATTTATATAAAGAGTCTATGGATATGACATGATATTCTGAATTCAAGCTATTTTAAACCAGGTTAGATATTACATTTTTGCAGTGCGGTGTTTGTCTGTAGACCTGTACACAGATGACATATTTGTAATGTTATTCTTGCATGTGTGTTTCAGAGTTTCGTTCCCCCTCTCACATAAGTGGCCTCAACCGCACAGCATCTCTGAGCGGAGCTGACCGGACCGAGTCTCTGTCCATCAGCGGCAGTAACAGTCAACTCAACAACAGCCTCCCCGTGCAGCAGTACATCCCCGACTTCAACGTGCGCGCCCTCACAGACCTGCAGTTTGTCAAGGTGATTTTACTGTTACTCCTGTCTGAAATGATTAGAAATTATCATTATTACAATATTCAGTATATTATCTGTACATAAAACGCACAAACATAAAAACAGAAGACATCCAGTTAATTATGTAAATATTCTGATGTGGAGTTTGTCATAGTTGTTTCTGAAATGTTCCCCAGTATGGCATTAATTATCTATCTTGCATTTACTCAATTACAGGTGTTTTTATGGGTCATTTATACATTGTTGCCCTTTCACAGATCTGATGAGTAACTGAGATTGATAGTTTTAATACTGATAGGCAAAGCAATAACAAGCAGCAACAACTTGTGGACCCTTCACTTGAAAAATTACACAGTATTTAGTAATCTAATAAAAAAATTATCTTTATTGCATTATTTAACTGACGTGTCAAATTATTATCATCATTTTGTGAAGTTGAGAGAACCCCTTCCTTTAGACGACACTGTGGTGCATTTAAATTGTTGCGTCATTGTAAAAACCTAACCGGTTACCAGTGTGGCGACACCTTAAAAAGGGTGCTCCGTATGACTCAGTGTCCATAAAAAGAATGAAGAGCTTTAATGAAATATGTACAGACTGGTTTCCCTTATGAGTTTGGTTTAAATCTGGGTTCTGCCTTTTTTTTGTTTTCCGTCACGCTTTAACCCTTAAATAGAGCTTTCTTTTTCTTTACGTCACAAAATTAATTGCATGTTTACAGAAGTAACTGTAGGAATATGAGGAAATCTTTGTTACTCTTAACACTGTGAGTCATATTAAACGGTGTCATAAGTGTATATTAAAGAGCCCATATTGCGCTGTTTTCTGATCTATGTTATTTCCTCATCAAAAACACACCCAGAGTTTTGTTTTGTTTGTTTTGTTCACTCATGTATAACACGCATTCCTACTAAACAAGGTAAAAGGTGACTGTTAACTTGAAAATTACCACTAATTACATCGTGAAGTGGAACAGAGCATTTTGAACTTCATAGATGTAGACAGACTAACAATAAAAGATTACTGAAACATGTGACTGAAACAAAGCACAGATCCAGATAATGTTTTTGATCAGGTAACAGCAAGAATCCGTTTTGCAGAATATAAGACCTTTACTTTCAACAAGAGCTTTTTTACTGGGGTAATTTTAGTAGTGTAGTTGTAGTAGTAGTGGTGGTAGTGGTGGTAGTGGTAGTAGTGGTAGTAGTGGTAGTTGTAGTTGTAGTGGTAGTGGTAGTAGTAGTTGCAGTAGTTGTTGTAGTATTAGTAGTTGTTGTAATCATAATAGTAGTAGTTGTAGTAGTAGTAGTAGTTTTTGTTGTTGTAATAGTAGTAGTAGTTGTAATAGTAGTTGTAGTAGTAGTTGTATTAGTTGTAGTAGTTGTAGTAGTAGTTGTTGTAGTTGTAGTACTAGTAATTGTAATAGTAGTAGTTGTAATAGTAGTTGTAGTAGCAGTAGCAGTAGTTGTAGTAGTAGTTGTACTTGTAGTAGTTGTAGTAGTAGTAGTTGTACTTGTACTTGTAGTAGTATTAGTAGTTGTAGTTGTAGTGTTGTAGTAGTAGTAGTAGTAGTAGTAGTAGTAGTAGTAGTAGTTGTTGTACTTGTACTTGTACTTGTAGTAGTATTAGTAGTTGTAGTAGTTGTAGTGTAGTAGTAGTAGTAGTAGTAGTAGTACTTGTACTTGTACTTGTAGCAGTTGCAGTTGCAGTTGTAGTTGTTGTAGTTGTTGCAGTAGTAGTTGTAGTAGTAGTTGTAGTTGTACTTGTAGTAGTAGTTGTAGTTGTAGTTGTAGTGTAGTAGTAGTAGTAGTTGTACTTGTACTTGTACTTGTTCTTGTACTTGTAGTAGTTGTAGTGATAGTAGTTGTAGTAGTTGTAGTGATAGTAGCTGTAGTAGTTGTAGTTTTTGCAGTAGTAGTTGTAGTAGTAGTTGTAGTTGTATTTGTAGTAGTTGTAGTGATAGTAGTTATAGTAGTTGTAATGATAGTAGTTGTAGTAGTTGTAGTAGTTGTAGTTGTTGTTTATTCGGTCATTTTACAAGAAAACAAAACATAGACTACAATCCCATAGATCATGACCAAAAGGGTTTAGACTGAAGTAAAAAGTACTTATAAGGCCTAATCCTATTAAACAATGACAGAAGTTTACATTTACAATTTCACTTACGACTTACTGTGTATATAAGAGACAAAATATAAATTAAAACACACAAAATTTAATCCATAATTCATTCATTCTAGAGCTATAGATCTTTCAAAACAAAATGCTTTATAACCTTGTTTAAAGACTTCTACAGTATTGGACTTTTTAAAATCATCACTTTTAGCTTTTGTTTTTACTTATACTTGATTAATATTACTTTAAAGTATAAATATAATCGCTGTATCTGTACGGCTAACTCCATATTTTGTGTTATCTTTTCTCTACAACACCTACAGGTCACCAGGGCCCAGTACCAGAACGGCCTGATGGCATCCCGCTTGGACAGCACCCCCCAGTCTCCAGAGAGCACCCATCACACTCCGAGCCTGGACCCTACCGTACCCCTTAGTCCCCCCAACACCACCACCCCTCCACCCTCTACCCCCCTGGCCATCTCAGATCTGAACGGGCAGGACTCAAACACGCTAGAAAATGGACCGGACGAGACCACGTTACTCCTTCAAAATGAAATCCACGCCCCCAATAGTGCCCCGAATCACCACAGCGCTCTGGACAACAGTATCTGACCCTCAGCCCGGCCCACTCAGACTGCACATTTAGGCTGAGAGACACAGACTGTGCTCAAGAGTGGGAACAAGCAGATCCAAAGACTGTGGACATGCCAAAGGAAACACTGTAAGAAAGAACGGCAGCAGTTTAAAGTTAAAATAGCTTGAATTCTGAATATTAATCTTGTATTCATATTTTTTGATAAATAAGTTTAATTTTGTTTATTGCTCTAGAGTTTTTCACAAACTTTTAAGATATTTTGACTGGTATTTTTGGATAACCCAATGTTTACTTTTTACATTATGAACTAAATGAATTCTCTTTCCAGGGACAGATATTTTTTTCTTTAAAATATAGAAAAAAAATAATCAAATGTCTCAAAACAAATATAAAAACGCAAAATGATTTCAAGAAACGGCTAATAGTCAAAATGATTGTTATTTTACCAGATTCGCACTGAGAAATTATAATTACACTGATAATTACATTACAATTGCAGTTTCGTTTTACAGTGTGGTTCCCTGTTCTTTTGGGCTGTTGACTTGACATATTTGGGTATTACTAATAGACAAACCAAATAGATCTAAACCAGTCAAAATGACTCAGTGTAATATTCTGAATTCAAGTAATTTTAACTCTGTACATGTTGCGTTTTTGCAGTGAACAGACACTATACTCCAGTTGTTTTGTAAGCCTGTGCACCTTCATGTAATTGGACCTCTGCTACCTTTCTTTCTGTCCTTATTGAAAGACTCAGGGAGACCCCACAACCCCTTTTTGTCCCTCCCCAGCTACTGTACGCCCCCGAACCCCAAAACAACTCTGCAGCATGTGTAGCACTGTGCAGTCTTCTCTCCACTTGTCTCACCAGCTAGAAGGCAAAGAGCGTCTTACACCAAGAAACACAGCTCGTATCTTCCGTAAAAAGCTTATAATGAAGAACTGATATTTATTGAACTATATGTGTGTTTGGGTTTAATATGTAGCCTACTGTACATCTTTGCCTTTTGCTCGTGGTTTGAGAAGTGATCACCTCTTGTTGGCTTTCAGATTTTAGATTTTTATTTTTTATTTTTTTGATCATTTGGATCAAGATCTAGAATTTTATTGATTTGTATCTTATACTTTTAGCATAATTGACAAGTGAGATGAGTGAGATGGAGAGATTTAACCATAAAGACTGGGGTCATAGTTTGCAAATCAAAAGCTTTGGCGGAAATCAGCCATGTTTGTTATCAGCAAAATGTCCATAGAGATGCATTAGCGTAAACAGTATAAAAAGTAAACAAAAAGAGATCTGAAGTAATCCCAATAACTTCCAAGTCACTGCTATCAAATATATGTATTGCTTTGTAGTGCCTGTTGACAGAAATTTGAGGGCCTGGGGCAACAAGCCTTACATGGACCCCCTCTTATATAAATAGGAAGAGCGGTGTAGTGGGGATTTTTTAAGTGGGGGTACGTGATTCCTGACTGAACCAGGAGGACTAAACCAGTTCTAAACCAGGTCTAAACCAGAACTACACCAGGTCTAAAACAGAAAGTTGCCCTTACTGAAAATTGTAAAAGTGGGCAAGGTACAAACCATAAATTTTTGCCCTGACGAAGACCATCTTGCTGGTCAAAACGCGTTGGTGTCCCTTCATGCAATGAAGGACTTTTAATATATTCAGTCAGTGTGCCTCGGGTTTGTACCTTGCCCACTTTTACAATTTTCAGTAAGGGCAACTCAACTTTCTGTTTAAGACTACTAGTTTAACCCTCGTAGAGCACCTGTACTGCTATTTTTTAACTCTTTTATGACTCAGTGAAGCGCTCTGCCTCTTTTCTTTATCTACACCAAGTCTAAATCAGGACTAAACCAGGACGAACCTTGGACTTGAGAGAGAGATAGAGAACCCTGAGCCCGCGGAGCAGAGTGTCTGCAAAGCGCGCTTGGGCGATGGCTGAGCTTAGCTTCGTGAGCTCTGCACCGGTCCTTTCACCTGCGGTCACACGACGGTCTACGCAAGCACACCTCCGGACCTGTCCCGACACTCAGTCCCGGTTTATTTCTGGTTTTGACCTGTTTTAGTCCTGGTTTAGTCCTGGTTCAGTCCTGGTTCAGTCTTGGTCCCCTCGTGTGGCAGGTCACTATAAGACAGTACTGCAGATATGAGCCTGTGCAGGTTGTTTTTATAATTTTTTTATATCTCACATCGGGAGAAGTGGGTGGACGGCGTACCCCCACGTACTATGCCCACTACACCCCTGAATAAGAGGAACGAATAGGAGGAAGGAATAGGAAATAGGAAGAGGCCCCAATTCTGAGCCCCTTAGTCCCTTAGTCCCATACTGGGCTTCACATAATTGTTCATTTAAGAGAAAACAATTTAAAAATCACACAATAACACAAAAGGAAAACTGTCTTATGCTGAATAGTGGTCATTGCAAATTAAAATATCTGTTACTTTAAAGCTAAATGGGTTTTTTTGGAGAGAGTAACAACAATATAATTCCAGCCTATTGATTACATTGTTTTGTTATAAGATTTCTTTTAATCTACAAATTTTAAAGCTGATTATTTGTTTTAGCGACTAAGGTATTGATCTTACTATATTACAAAAAGAACTGCATATGTAAATTTAGCTGTCTGGCCCCATCTTTATGAAATATTATTGTTGTTTTTTTTATATTGTATCATCTGAAAACCAGTAATAGGTATCTCTAAACTGTTTCTTGACAATCAGTATGAAAGTATGTGTCACTGGGTACGTTGTCATTTATTTTGTTTATTTTATTTTTAGTTTCTTTGACTTAATTGTCTCCTTTCATTCTTGTAGCAGCTGATGTAAAACAGTTGCGGTTCTGTGCCTGTATATAAGTGTCTGAACTAAAGTGCGCATGTGACCAAAATACCATCACTTAAAGGTTCACTGTGTAACTTTTCTGTTTGTTGGCAGCACCTCCTGCATGTCTCCATGGAGATGTTATTGCTATGCCTGGAATGTTCCACACTTTGACATTAAACTTATCATCCTCAAGCAGGCGCTGAAACCAAGTTATAGGTCAGATCTGTGGAAAGGGTGACCTGCCTTACTGTAAGCATACATGTTTTTCACTGTATTTTTGAGCGATAAAAAGGTCTTTATTTGAATAAATGCAAAATATATGAAGTTAAGATGAGATGAGAAGTTTAATGACCTACTGTGGAACATTTCGGTACAATAACATTTCCGTGGAAACAAGCGGGTGACGGACTACCTATCAGAAAATTTACATGTTGTACCTTTACGTTGCTGGAAACACAACCAAAAGAGGGAATCATGTTCACCTCATGACTAGAAAATACAAGAGATTTTATTTATTGTATCCTTCAATGCAAGTGTGTACATAAAGATTATGTATTTGTGAAATGTCGGATGAAATTCATGAATTTTCTTGCTATTTGATTTTACAATGTGTTTCTTTTATATGTTTTTAATTGGTTTGGTGGGATTGGGTTCACACTGGTATATTTGTAAATTATTGTTTGTTTTTCCCCAAAGCCAATCCATGAATAAGGAACATTACACTCCGTTTTTTACTGTACCTGTACACACCTGTCATTTTAAATTAAAGGTATAGACTGCAAATACTCTGACATGCATTGTGTTTAATTTGGTGTTTGAGGTGAAATCAAAAATTGTGTATCATAAATGCATATTGATGTGCTGTTGGGTAGCTGGACCAGAAATCAAGTCTGCCTCATAAAGGGAAAACTGCGTATTTTGTCTGAGAGACCAAACAAAGACCTTCATAATACCTGTTTTATTAGGTGTCAAAGATTTGTGGCTCATCTATGTCTTGTTTTTGAGAAATCTTGATGTGACCATAGTTTCTTAAGTGATACAATGGAAAGGTGCATTAACTGCATCTTGGAATGTTTTGACTGGCTCTGTGGATTTAATGAAGAATTTCACACAACTCAGATACTGCAACTTGCTTTGTTCCTTAATCCTAAAATGGGACAGAATACAGACTTGAAACTTTCACAATTTCCTATTCAAAACATTCACTAAAAAGCAGCTCTAAAGTAGCAGCCTAAATCTCGGTAAAGTGATTTGCAGTTATTTTGTCTTTCTAATTTGACTTTTGATGAAAACCAAGAGGTTTATATCCACTGTAGGCTTGTCTCTCCCTTTTGTCCTCATGTTTTTTCTCTGTCACCAGAACTTGATCTAGACCACTGTCCACCAGAGCATTCACACCTGGACTTTGAACCAAACCAAACAAGACTTAATCCACCTTGACCCCAGTGTCTGTGTATGAATGTGTCTGTGAAAAAGTGACTGGTTCTTCCTATAAAGTGCTTTAAATGCCTTCAAGGTGTCATTAGGCTATGTAAAATGTACCTATTAATCACTGATTGGACAGAGACATTTCAAAAACATCCCTGGAGTTGTGTTTTGTTTCATTCACATGGTTGAGTAATTCTTTATAATTAGTCTACATCTCTAAAGCTCAAAATGCTCTGCTCCACCTTGTGATGTCATGAAGCGGTAGTTTTCAAGTTAACGGCAACCTTTTACCTTTTGTACCTTTTGATGCGTGAATGAAACAAAACACAATTCCAGGTATGATTTTGATCAGGACAGAACACTGTAATGTTGTAATATGGGCCCTTTAAGACAATTCAGACTAATAGGACTGACCTCCCTGGCCTTCATGGTACTTAACATGTATTTATGCGTATTTACACAGTACAGTTGAGTGGGTGTGGCTGACCAAGCTACAACGGTTGTTTAGTGAACACACACAATATTTAGGCATAATATCTTTATTTTTCTACTTTCTTCTTCAATCTCTGGAAAAAACATACATCTCTTCCCAGACCCATTTCATGATAGAATAAGTCAAGTATTGTTGTATAAAAGGAATTTATCAGTTTGGTTGATTCTGGCTTTTGAAACAGAAGCCTAAACCACTCTACTCCCCCTTACCTCAACAAAAGGGCAAAAGTGTCCAGTCAAGGTTAAAGGTGCACTGCGTAACATTTCTAGTGAAGGGTCTGTTACCTGTTTGTCTGCATGTAAATGTTATTACTTTGTCTGTTTTTTCACAGACTAGATTAAGTCTATCACATGAGAGACAAGCAGGTTACAGCACTACGAAACATTACAATTCAGATCTGTGGAGGGTCGCCTCTATTCACAGAAGGAATTGTGGTATTTTTAAGCAATAGAAACACCCGGAATAAATAAATGCTAGATGGATATGCTTAACATCACACCATGAAACATTCCAGGCAAAGTAATAACTCCATGGATAAAAGTAGGTATCGGACCCTCCATTAGAAAAGTTATGCAGGACACTTTTAATTTTAATATGGGAAGTGGTTGTTTTTGTTTTAAAATGGAAAATAGCTGGAATTAGATGTAACTCCTGATCTAAGACTGGATCTTTTACTTACTAATACTAGCACTATTAGACAGGAACAAAGTATTTTCCGAGATTAATTTAGTTATTTTGCAGCAACCACCAGTAACTTTCTGGAGGTGGCAAGTCACCTGCATAATTACATTGAAGTACAAAGTTAAAACCATACTTTGGAACATTCAACATGGAGATAAATACTATGGAATATTATAGCCAAAGGAACAGCATTTCTGTGGAAGCAAGCAGGATCCTCCAGGCCAAATAAAAGGTAGGTTTGTGAAGACGAAGAGTAAAAACACATGCTTCTTTTTTTTTTTTTTTTTTTTTTTTTTTTTTACATTTTTCAGTGCAATAAAAACTATTTAAAAAACAAACAAATAAAATAAAATGAAGAATATGCTTTTATTTAGGTCTATTTTGGGACTGAAATGTTGCATACTGTGGCTTTAATGTTATATTATTGTATGTCCTAAAAAGGCTTTATGTGGAAGAGAAGTGTTTTCTGTTTGAGAGAAGAAAACAACCTAAATACGTAGGGTTTGTGTGAATGTGTGAATGAAACAAAACACAGCACCAGGTATGTTTGTGAAAGGGAAAGGACATAACAGAGATCAGAAAATAGAGTATAATGGAACCTTTAAAAGCCACTGACATAGATCACTTATGCCCATTTGATTAGCCTTGACTTAACATTTAATTACTACATTTAAGAATCTTTTATTTAGGTCTATTTTTGGGCTAAAAAGTTACATACTGTGGCTTTAATGTTATGTTATTGTGACATAATATGCACTAAAAAGGCTTTAAACCTAAACAGATTTGCCTTACTCAGCCATTATTTCTTGAACGTGTGTCTGTAATCTGGTGGGTGAGGAAGTGAAAAATACCCTTGTGAGAAGTGGATTGCGAAATTGGCATAGAGGCTCCCACACTATGACATCACTGGGAAATTTGGCTGTAAAACTGGAAGGAGCAGCTTCAGGAGACAATGAGCTGATACTGTGATTAATCCAAAAATATGTATGTAGTGAAGAAATACATATTGTAAGTAACTGTAAACATATTTGAGTATATTTAAAAGGCCCATATTATGCTATTTTTTGATGATTTAATGCTGTTTACTCATCAAAAACATACCTGAAGTTGTGTTTTGTTTCATTCACACATTTTTTACACACAGTCCCTGCACATTTAAGCAGTGTTCTAAAAATTTGAGTTGTATTTTCATGTGGTAATACAGGAAATGCTCCATTGTGGTTTTTAAACTCCATACACCTCCATCTTAATAATTTGTATTATTTCAGACCTAGAATTGTCTATCTCTGCTGAAGTATAGGTGAAAGATATAGTTGTATCTTTAAAACTACATCTTCATGACATCACAAGGTGGAGCAGAGCTTTTTGAATTCTGGAGATGTAGACAGACTAATAATGCGGGGTTACTCAAACATGAGCAAATTAAATAAAACACAACTCCAGGTTTATTTTGGATGAGGTAACAACATTATATCATGGTTTAAAGCTCACAAGAGTAAATTTTGTGTAATATAGGAAAGTTTTAACATTTAATTACTTTTTACTAGATTTTTAAGTTTATTCATTTGAAATACCATTAAAATAAGTAAGGGATCAAAACAAAAACATCATTTCATTTTTTGCCCAATTCAGCATTCTTTTTTTTGTCTTCTTTTGGATAATTTTAGTACACTTGGTTTAGCCTTAGATTAGACCTGGAATAGTCCTGTTAAAGGCACGATTTAGATCTGGTGGTACTCTGAAAACCAAATGTTTTTTTATTGGCACTTGGTGTGAAAAGTTTAAAGATGACACAAAATTGACTCTTGTGAGCATTAAACCATGTTATAATGCTGTTATCTCTTTTTATTTCATCCACACATGTTTAAGTAATCCTAGGATTACTCAAACTCTGTTCCACCTTGTCATGTCATGAAGCAGTAGTTATCAAGTGTACCAGAACCTTTTATCTTAAGAGATTGGCAATGCTGATAGGCAGCAGAGAATAAGAATCGCCACTACACATCTTCCCCTCAGGGGGGTGTCCTTAGTCCCCTGCTTTACTCACTTTACACTCATGATTGTCTCTATGTCTGAACCCAAAACTATTGTTAACAGCTGCTATACTTTTGACTTCAGGTGATGACGAGCCTATTACTCAGAGATAGACCATCTGATAGACTGGTGTCAAAATAACAACCTCCAACTTAACATTAGTAAAACTAAAGAACTTTGGATTTTCACAGGAACAAACAGGAGACCTACCACTCCATGGCCATCAAAGAGTCACCAGTGGAGAGAGTAGACTGTTTTAAATATCTGGGGGTGCACATAGCCCAGGGCCTGAGCTGAACACCACACACCACCTTCCTGGTGAAGAAAGCCCAGCAGCGCCTGTACCATCAAAGGCAACTCAGGGACCTGAAGCTCTCACTTTGAGTGTTGAAAAGCTTCTACACCTGCACCACGGAGAGCATCATGACTAGGAATATCACTGTGTGGATGGGGACAGCACTCAACAGGAGTTTGTGGCTCTCAGGAGAGCTGTTCACTTGGCAGAGGAGACCCTCAGACTGGGCGTGCCTCTTCTGGACAACATCAACATCGAGAGATGCCAATGCAAAGCTCAGAGGATTGTGTCGACACCAGTCGCCCTGCCTATGGACTGTTCTCCCTGCTGCCATCAGGACGGTGCTCTCATCTTCTCAGGGAACTGAGAAGGTGTGGAGGAGTTTCTACCCCAAGGTCAGAAGACTGTTGAACCAGGAGTGAGCTGCTCCTAACTCTCCTCTCCTCTATGTATTTCATGCATTTACTGTATGTGTTTATGTTGCTGGATGGTACATAAGAATTTCACTACACACTGTACTGTGTGCATTTGTGTATGTGACAAATAAACAAAACTAAATAAACTAAAATAAACTAATTCCAGGGTTGAACTTATTCAAATTATTCTAGTGAAGGTGTATGGAGTATAAAAATACAGTGGACCACTTCCTGTTTTACCACATGACATCACAAGGTGGAATAGAGTGTTTTTGATTTGAGAGAAGAACACAACTGTGCAGGGTTTGTGTTAAATATGTGTGAAAAAATATACATATATTAGCCTTGACTTAACCTTTAATTACTACATTAAAAACAATCCTAAAATGAGTGAGCACTTTTCTAGGCATTTCTCTTTATATACATTTGTATTATATATTTACGTATTTAGAATGTTTTATTACCATTTATGTTAACTCTTTTTTATAATTTATTGTGATGTGTGAGCTACTGTGTCCAAATAATTTCCCTTGTGGATCAAAAAAGTTTGTCTAAGTGTAAGATTCATTTATCAGTTATAGATGGAGGTATGCACATCACTACACAGGCTACTTACTCTGTAACTCCGTATTGTCGTAAGTTATATATGAGCCATCATTTTGCGATTTCCCCAACATTTCTGCTTTGTCATGTTTATCACACACTTCTTCTTTGGCAATGATAAAATTTCAAAATTGGGATGTGAAAGTGCCAAACTTTCTAAATTGGGGATTATAGAGTAAAATGTAGATAAAATTACAAAAAAAAAAAAAAAAAAAAAAAAGTATAATGAATAGAATTATTATTATGATTATGGTTTATTGGTTTATTTACAAAACAATTGACCAACATTTAATTCTTTGAAGGTCTTGTAAAAGGTAACTCCTCAGAAGCTACATTAACTTATAGAACGGGCCCCATTAGTGATAATTTATTATTATTTTATTATATTATGATTATATTTTGTTTTCTTAGATAAGCAGATAATTTGGCTCCACCCGAGCTTGTCTATCTGGGGAGCCACGCTGGGAGAAAAAAATGTATCTCTATAGAGTTCACAACAGTAGATCCAGGATCTTCTACACCAGGCTGTAACAGCACAAAGAAATTGTGGTAAAATATTTAAACCTAATGTTAAAGATCCTGTATTATGCAAAATTTATACTTGTGAGCTTTAAGCCATGTTTTAATGTTGTTATCTCATCCAAAACAAACCTCATTCACACACATTTGAGTAACATTTTATTATTACTCTGTCTATATCTCCAGAGCTCAAAACGCTCTGCTCCACCTTGTAGAAGAGGTAGTAGAGGTGGAGGTAGTTTTCATGTTAATGGCTACTTTTACCTTTAGTTCAGTAAAAATGGGCAATTCTAGGGCTGAAATTATCCAGATGATTCTAGTGGAGGTGTATGGAGTTTAAAAACAGTGAAGCACTTCTTGTATTACCACATGACATCACCAAGTGGAACAGAGTGTTTTCCTTGTGAGAGAAAAACACAGCCTAAATGTGCAGGTTTTGTGTGCGAATGAAACTAAACACAACTCCAGGTATTTTTGTGATGAATAAACACTATAACATACACCAGAAAAAAACGTAATATGTGGCTTCAGCTATTTGTCAGTTTGATTATGTGTGTCTTTTTGTGGATCTAGATAAAAACAATTAAGAGTAAGAGTCCTGTTATTTCAAATACTTTTAATACTCTTAATACCTGTCTAAGAAATGTAATGTACCTTGATGGTTACACTGTAAAATATATTACTCAAGACAAGAGTAATGGTTACAAATTCCTCTTTAAACATGCACTATGTAACTTCTTGGTTAGGGATACATTTCTTGCTTCTTTCTATGGATATGTCATTGCTCTGCCAGGAATGTTCCACAGTATGAAATTAAACACAGCTCTACCTTACATTTATTAAATCATAGGTGGTTTTAAAGCAGAAAAATACCTAGAAAAACAGGCATTTTGACTGTAAGCGTTGTTGCCTCTCCACAGAACTGACCTGTAACTTGTTCTGGTTTGATCTCCATCAAGATAAAAAGGTTCAATGAAATAATGTGAAACAGTCCAGGCAAAGCAATTACAAAGCAGTTACAATGCTCCTTTAATAAATACTTTTAACACACTTTCAATATAATTCTTAATTTATTTAAATTTTTTCTTCTGTGTTACCCAGGTAAGTGCAGTTGAGTAGCTATGTACTACCCATGTCTGTATAAAGGTGTAGATGTTCTTAAAAAAAAAACCTTAATGACTCGAATAAATCCATAGAAATAACAAAAGTGCTCAATATGGTAAAAGTTAAAGACATGAACTAGTGAAATAGCAAATATTCCTGCTTTCAGTTTCTGGAATGCTTCACCTTGTTTAAACATTGCGTGTCTATAAGTAGCGTAAATTCCACAAACAATAATAATAAAATTGCATCAGCGAGGCGGAGTTTGTTATTTCTTCACTTCCTCTGTTATGACGGGTAGTCACACTAAGCCAATGAAGCTATGGACAATGCTCTGCAAAAGACAGAGAGACATCCTGATTAGTTAAACTGATTTAAGTTTTGTTGTTTATTTCCTGTTCAGATGCATTGCTTTATTTCAAGTCAATTTATACATTGTTAACACACCTGCACTTCAGTGGTGGAACATAATGAAGTACAAGTAGTAAAGCACTTAAACTGTACTTGAGTATGCATTTGAGGTACAGTACTTTATAGAAGTACATACATTTTAAAATGGATACTTTTTACTTTTGCTTCACTACATTTGAGAGCAGGTATCTTCTACTCCGCTACATTTTTAAACAGGACTGACACCTTTTATTACTGTCTGAAACCTGCTGAAAAGATTCAGGGGTTTATTTTTAACATGTTCATAGTTCGAGCACAAATATACAAATAAAAATAGGCAGGGAAAAAAAAAAAAGATCAATTAAAAGCAATTAAATCTAACCTATAGTGAAAACAGCTCAAATCCAGATACATTCAAGTTTTAAATATATTAGGGCTGCAACTGAGTATTTTAGTAACTGACGAGTAAGCAATATTTCTTTAGTTGACTAGACAAGTGATTGACATTACACTGAGACTTTTTAACATACAAAAAAAAAAGATTGAACATGGTGACCAACTTCTATTGAGAATATTTACGAATGAAGTGAGTTATTGATGAAAAGCAAAACTTGTTTATTCTTTTTTGACATTTTGATTTAATACCGTCTCTGCTATTTAAAGTTTTTTTGTATGTGTTTTAGAGTCTGTATAACCAGATATGATAATCAAAATATGATTATATGAAATTGTCGACAATAAGGAATTTGTTAAAGCTCCATTTTCACAGACCGTACTGGTAAAACATACTATATAACATATAGCCTACCATCATGAAGCAAAACAGAATATAGGTTATGTTGTGAACTGGATAATTAACTATTAACTCCTCCTCCCTGAAGCCACAGCATGGAGTGGAGAAGGAGTGGCTGAAAAAGGAAAAGAACAGCATTTCTTCATCACAGGTCATCACTACTTCCTTGAAATAAAAGGGAAAATTCCCTTCACTTCTATATAAATACCAGAGCTCCGAGAACACACAGTAGTACTGACAAACCAGCAGCTAGGATCTAATACAAAGACCTCATCAACAACCTCTTATCTCCCAAAAGACTCTAAGGTAAATAAACTTTGTTTTTGGTGTTTACATTTGTAAACTACCTGACTTTATACCTGGAACTGAGATATTTATTTATGTATTTTATTTCTGCAGCAAGTCAAAAGATGGAATCAGAAATTATGTACAATGCCAGCCATTTGTCCTGCCCAGTGGTGGACTTGAAGATTTCCCATCATCCTCTAACCATGAGACGAGTGGTGAATGTGGTCATTGCCATGGAGCGCATCAAAAACAGCCTGGCCCAGGCCCTCCAGAGCCCTGACTTCAGAGATGAAAATCTGCTCAGCAACTTGTTGGAGAGCATGGTAGAAGGTAGAATAGAATCTGTTATTTAGGGCCCTACGCACAAACCTCTGCTTGTTTTATGTGAACAGTGTCTTATTTTCAAATGTTGTTTTTTTTTCACAGCGAGGTTTGTGACAGAGCGGTTTGCAGCACAACCTCAGTTCACCAGAGTTGCGGAGCTCCCTTGCAGTGTGTCTGACAGCCAAAAGAGGAACCTGGTCCTGGTCAACGATAGCTTGAAGTTACATGCAGTCATGCTTCAGGGAGGCAGCGAGACACGCCAAGGTGAATAGACAAAAATACTTATTTAAAGACATAGTTACAGTTATTTCATACAGACCTGGCTGTACAACAGTGTTATTCTGAGTATTAAAATACTGCTTTTATTTATCTTAAGTTCACCTGAACATGTCGACATATCGACCCCCACCCAGAACTGAGGGAAGACCAGTGGCCCTTTGCGTCAGAGGCACAAACTACTATCTTTCCTGTCACCAGGACGGCGATGTGCCAAGTCTGCACCTGGAGGTAACAATTATACATGTGTTATATACATGTGCTGTGCTTGCACTGTCTGTGGAGTAACATTTACATGTCACTATATGATTATTTGATGATTATCACAAATCTAAATTTTTTTCAGACTGTGGAAAACAAAGATTTGCTTGCAAGCATCAGCAATGGCAGTGATATGGTGCGTTTCATTTTCTACAAACATGACACTGGTGTGGACCTGAGTTCTCTGCGCTCCGCTCGCTTCCCTGAGTGGTACATCAGCACCTCAGACATGGACAACCAGCCCCTACAGATGTCTGCTCAGGCCTCCAGCTATAGCGCCTTCTCCTTCCAGCTCCAGGGTTAGACCACCTCTGTTCACAGCACTACTGTGCACAGCAACATTTCATTTTGTAATATTATTGTATGTACTGAGTACAGAGTGTAATGCCAGTGTAACGACACATCACATTTTGACATAAGGGGTCGCTATTTCAGTACATGCAGTGCATGTAAACCTATTTATTTAATTTATTTACTATTTATAATAATAAATATATAGTGATTTATATGACACTTTTAACTAACTCTAACCTAAATAAAATGTAAAAAGAAAGCTTCTGTTGTTCAGAATTGTTTTTCATACATAATATTTTATATTAAAAAAAATGTGCTCCTCACCTTCCAGAGTGGTTGGTCTCTCTCCCTCTCATCCAGCTCTGGTCCTCTACCAGAGTCCTGGGAGCTTTAGAGTTCTGCGCAGTATCTTTGCTGTTCCTAGTACCGCACTTTCCTGGACTGAGATGTGTGTTGTTTTTCCTGGTATCTGCTGTAGCCACTTCTTCCATTTTGGGGGTTAAAGCCCCAAGTGCTCCAATCACCACAAGCACTACTGATGTCTTCACCTTCCAGGCCTTCACTATCTCCTCCTTGAGCCCCTGGTATTTCTCTAGTTTCTCGTGTTCCTTTATCCTGATATTACCATGGCTTGGTATTGCGATGTCCACCACCACAGCTCTGCTTTGCTGCTTATCCACCACCACTATGTCCCACAGGATCTTGGCTCTGTCATTCTCCACAACATTTGGAGGTATTTCCCACATTGACCTTGGGGTCTTCAGCTTGTACTCTGCACAGATGTTTCTGTACACTATGCCCACCACTTGGTTATGCCCCCCCATGTTTGCTTTCCCTGCCAGTATCTTGCACCCACCTCTTTGCACAGCCTACACTGTGGGTCTTGTCTGGTGTGGTAGATCTGGGCCTCTGTTGCACGAGTGCCCAAGACCTATATAGTCTACATATTTGTAGCCAATTTCCACCTCATATCTCACGTATAGTGGGCACAGCCAATCAGAATGCAGAGATTGTTGCTCAGGTAATAAAGTAATTGGGTTCAAACTCTGCTTGGGTGAGAAGATTACAATAATAATTATACATAATATTATTATTGTAATACAATAATTAAATAATTACAATAATGAACAAAAACAAAAAAGATTTTATCAAATGTTTATGTTAGATATCACTGACTGTACATTTTAAAAGGACAAATTAAGTATTAATTTAAAGTATAGAGCATACATTACTTAGAAAATCACATACAGATTATCAATCTATCATAAAACAATTTACAATTGATGCTAAGACAGACTGCATTATGTTTATTAAATTTTGAAACAGCTAATGCCTTGTTTGTGATCTAAAAATGCTCATACTATACAGTGCAGGTCACAAATGGTGACCTTTTGTGCCACCTCAGCTAAATAATCCTGGAGTGTCCAAGAGGTGCAGAAACTACAGGGGGTCTGGTTTTCAGAGGGTCAACAACAATGCATAGCCTCAAAAAACATGTGCACATCTATTTGTGCACATAGTTTGTAACTGATCATCTACATGGTGAGACTTAATGTTTCCCTCAATTATGAATTATATTTATGTTACATTTATTTGAAAAGAATTGTGTGTTGTATTAACTCACCCCTGGGTTCAGCAGGAGCAGAGGAGGGGACACACGTGGATGGGACAGAGGCAGAGAGCTCTTGCTTTTTCTGCAGGTACTGGGGCAGCTTATTCATGTTGGTCCCCACTGCATACTTCCTTTTGAGGAATGGATGAATTGGCTGAGTAGCCTTCATCCAAAGACATGTTTATTACACATACTTAATAATATACTTTGGAATAAACAATTTAAAGACATGCATTATTTGTGTATTTTATAATAGCACTGCAGTACTCCCCCACAGTGGATTGTGAGCATTAAAATCTCCCACCCAAATCAATAATGATTTATATGGATTATAGCAATTAACTAAATTAAACTTACCCTCATGACACCAAACCTGAGTAATCACACCCTCAAGTAAACTGTCCCACTTAATGGGCTTGTACTGAATACCTGTTTCTACATCCTCCACCACATCTATCTGGTCTGTCTTTCCGGAGACACTCAAAACCTGGAACAATTAAATCAAGGCTTCTTAAACCCTGCCTTAAGTCAGGTTTCTTGAACCCAAATGAGGTCTGGTTTTGGATCAGACTCCCTAATTACTTTTTTCAACTTCTGCCCATTTGCAATTAAACTTCTTGCATTCCATTGCAAGATTTAAACCATGAGGAAAAAGTTCAGTACATTCAAAACTATCTATGTGGGTCTCATTTTCATCAAAATCATCAGCATCTAATTGACCACCTTTAGAATCAGACTAACTCACTTGAACTATCCTCATAAACTGGAACAGGCTCTGTGGAGAGGACTTTCTGGGCCCCAAGAATCTATTGGCAGCTTCAGCTACAAATATATCCGATCTGGACTATTTTTCACAAGCCCCATAAATAACATCAACAATACAAGTCAATAATGATTCCCTCTGAATCACCAGAGTATTTTGATCTCCAGCTACAGCAGGAGGCAGCTGAGGCTGCACAGGGGAGCTCCCTGCTGTGACACCCACATCAACAGGAAAAGTGACTCCCTCCACTCTCTTCAGGGCTTCAGCATATGTGATTTTGTACTGCTCTTTTACTAGCTGTACGTTCTTGGTTTTCACAAAAAATCTGCACTCCCTAGAAGATGCCATTTGATCTTCACCACAGTTACAACCCTTTGAGACTGAAGCACCACATTCAGAGATATCACAATTTCCCCCACATTTGACACATCTTAAAGAGCCTCTGCATGCTCCAACCATGTGGCCAAATCTCTGACATTTGAAGCATCTTAATGGGGTCTTACATAGACCCTAACCTGGTTACCTATAACAAACACCCAATAAACACTCGTGAAGGAAGATGATTTCCTTTAAATGTGAGCAGAACTGGTGCATTAACATTTCCACCCTCATGTGCTTTAAAACGCTTCACCTCCACCACTTTTTCACTGATCACATTTTCCTTTATCTCCCTCCCACACATAACAGCACCTACCCCATAAATCACCCCCTTCACCACCTCCCCTTGTTCTGCAATGTGACTTCCATTTTTTTCCCACATATTTTATTTATTTTTGCACTTTATCTAGCTACTAGCCCCGTGCAAAAAACCAAAAGAGCACCATTCGGTATCAGCTAAGCTTTTACGTTGTCACTCACATTCTTTAAGGACTCGGCTATTTTTGCAGGGTTCATGTTTGATCATTTAACTTGTAAACAACCTTGTAATCCAGCACAGATTTCACCATCTTGATGTCTCTGCTACCCTCTTTCTCCAGGGACGGTGTCAGACCTATCCTGTTTTCTGTTCCCTTTTGATCTATTGCAATCTCCCCCAGAAGGCATAACCAGAGGGTAGCCACAGGAGTTTGACAAACAAACACAGAAACACGGCCGTACCGGGTCTTAATAGGCCATCGGCCGGTGCCCCACAAATGCCTCCCAAACTCACAGGTAAGTGATGTGTAAAAAAAAATCACTGGAAATTACTTACACCTTATTTTAATAAAGTTGTCATGCAGCAAAACAGCAAGAGCTTGAATTACGCGGGAAACCGCAACCCGATCCGGAAGTCTCCCTAAGCCTTCTCACGTATAGTACTCTCCCCACCTCACTCTGAGCTCCGGTTCTCGTCCAGTGCACTTTTTGATGCTTTGGTCTTGCTTATATATGCTATAAGGGTATTCGCTAAGGCCTGGAAGATGTCGTGATATGATCCCGCCCATAACTCAGTGAAATATGATTGGCCTAGACAACTGTCAAACTCAAATTCATACCCACACTGAATTGCATGGGCCTTCGTTACAGCCACCAAAGGTGTCAGACGGTTTCCACGAAGTGTAACCGGCTGATGAATCAGGATACTGGATGACGCCCTCAGCAAAAAATAAAACTTTAGCTTCAACAGTTTTATTTTCAGTTTTTATTTTTCTCTTAAGAACTATAATAGCACAAACGAAACCTTTTGCAGCACAAAACAGCACAAACAATAGACATAGTTTTTGTGTAGGTGTACGTTTGATGGGGGGCCAACTTCACGGAGGAGGCCGACCTCTGTTGACCCATAGAACTATAATAAAATATAATAAAATATAAAAAAAAATAATATAACCCTATGTCCTGTCATTAATCATATCATTGCTGCAATGTCTTCCTATGACCTCTTGTATAAAGCTGTGATTTAATTTTATTACTTCTATTTCTATTTTATTTTGACTTGTACATATACATTTATATAATTATGTCTTATTTGACACCTGTAGAGCTATTATATATGTGTATGTCATGTATGTGTGTGTATATATATATATATATGTGTATGTGTATATGTATGCATGTACGGGGATATATATATGTATGTATATGTGCAAGTGTGTGCATGTGTGTACGTATATGTGTGTATGTATATATGCATATATATATATATATATCTATGTGCATCAATTGTTATGATTATTTGTATATTTTTGTTATCTGTTGTTATCTTTCATTGTTAGTGTGAATGTGGTGCATGTACATCCTGTTTTCCTGCAGAAAAAGGCATTTACAGAATGTTACTGACCCCAGGAAGAATAGTTGCTGTTTTTTTCAGTAGCTAATGGGGATCTAAATAAAAACAAACAAACCTGTCTCTTACTATCTTTTTGATACTTGTTTAGAATTTATTATTATCATTTATGTTTTTTACTCTTTGTTATTATATTGTGATGTGTGAGCTACTGTGTCCAAAGAATTTCCCCTGTGTATCAAAAAAGTTTGTCTAAGTCTAGTCTAGCCTCAGTTTGTATTATAGATCCATGGTTCGATCCATGGTTCGACCCTGGTCCGGCGTCTGCTGCAGGTCAAGACTGCGCATGCGTGTTCAGTTAAAGATTTGAAATTTGACCAATGAGAATCTGAGGAGACTTTTTCAAAACAAACCCGTTCAGTCCGTGCAGTTTGCGCACATGAATCTCACCAGCCTTCAATAGCTACAATTATTATCATAAAAATTTACGAAGATGGATACAGTCCCGGCAAACATGAATGCGGTAGAAAATGTACTTACCCGGAAAGGTGAGCAACAACATTTTACGGTTGAAATAACGCTAACGCTAACTAACAGAGGGGCGAACGTGGATGCTAACATGCAAACAGAAACACATTACAAAACAAAACACAATTAAACCTCACAAATGCGTGTTCAAGTTTGTTTCGCGGTGATTTGAGGTACTACAACTGAATATGTTTACGGTTACAATGAGTTAGACATATATCTTGTGTGTTTTATTTGTTATCTGGATTGCATTGTCGCCTCTGTTTGGATATCTACATAGACTAGGGTGACCAGATGTCCCTATTTACCCGGGACAGTCCCAGCTTTGAGCCTTGTGTCCCCTGTCCCCGCAAACTTATCCAAAACCAGTTTATCCCTGTTTTATACAAGAAATGTCCCAGGTGTCCCTATTTTTGACCAATTTGATAAATGCCAATGGTAAAGAGAGGCATACATTGATATTTGTTTGTGAAAAATACAGAAAAGCTGCTTAAAAATGACCAAAGCACAAAGAAAATGTGACTATACTGACTCATGTTAGTTTTGAATAAGTCATGAATGGGCCAAGTGCAGAACAATTCTCCTTAATTATGCACTTGTTACACAATTTAATTATTATCAACTATTCCAAACTGAGAGTGTCCCAGTTTTTGAATTTGAAATTCTGGTGACCCTATCAAAGACTGTATATCTTCATTGAGTTGATGACTGGGAAGGAACAATTCTCGCACATGGATACCAATGTAACATAAACTAAACCTTCTGACCATTGGTGTAGTAGTTAGGTTTTAATCAGAAATGGGCAGAATAGCCAAAAGTTGCACTCAAGAGGAGCGATACAGCAAAATAATATTACCAAGTAGAAGAAGGTAGTGGTCCAAGAAATAACCAAGTGTGGGTTAAAAAAAGTATGTGGGAAAACTGCTGCTGAAGTAAGAGTAACTTAAAAAACTGTAACATCTGATTTATAAATTGAGGTTAAAGTAATTTGAGGAATGAAACACTAAATAATGCACTAAATCTGGTGTTTTCAAAGGACTCGTGTAAAAATGTAAAAGCTACAATATAAATCATTTAATATTATTTTTAAACATAAAGCTTTGTCACTTAGACTTATTCACAGTGGGAAGAGTAAACAAAACTTTTACTCAAGTAAGTGTACTGTTACTTCAATTAAAAAAAAAAATAAAAAATGACTCAAGTAGGAGTAAAAGTATGCAGCTGGAAAGGTACTCTGAAAAGTACAAGTTCTTTACAAAGTTGCTCAAGTAAATACTGAGTCCTATGGACTTCTGTATTAGCAGAAAGCTCCACAAGATGGCAGTGTATGAACAAGCTTGAAGACAAACTTCTATTTTATCTTGGGTCAGAGACAAATCATTTTCTATTTCTTTTCCATGACTTTCTGGTTTAATGTAGTCTTATTGGTGCTGGGTACTGTTAATATCTGCTGTGAAATAGGTCAGTTGTATTTCTTGTTATAACCATGGATTTATGACCTAATCTTATACATTATGTGGTTATTACAACTTGCAAAACTTTATTTTAAAAACTCAATATCTGATGCAGATAATCAGACCTACTGGGATGACAAAGCAAAAGGCATGGATAGTAAACTAAAAGTAACAGGAAAATAAAAAACAAACTCTTTGGACTATATTTGGATAGATGAATAAAAGTATGAAATGAGGGATTATATTTTATATGGCATATTTTAAAAGAGTCAAATATCAAAAAGTCAAACTTTTTCTATTTAAATATAATAAACAAACAGTACAAACAAACAGTGGAATTGTTTAAAGCTTGTACTACTAGTAATAATATTAATAATGTAATTTTACACATTTGTTATTTATGTCTAAATCATAAATAATCTATTATATGAATTTGTTTGTGACAAACTGATTTTTGAATTTAATGATATTTTGTGAATTTTTTAGAAATTCGTCGGCAAAAGTTGATGGAATTCCTGGCAGCAAAAGCAAATGTGATGTTGCCCAGCAAAAAGTAAGACAGATTTTATGTTTTTATAAACATTTTTATGACATCTGTGACACCACATTTATGTTTTGTTTTTTTTCCAGACCAAATATGGTTAAAGATGAGAAGTGTAAAAGTGAAAGATCTGCTCCTAAGGTAAGTTATTGCTTGTTACTCTGATGGCCAATATAATCACAATCTTTCAACCAATTTAATTTTAATTCTTCTTACTTAGGTGCACAATGGCAAAGAAAACACAATTCCTGCTCCCAACAAGGATGTTAAAGTTAAAACTATTCAGGTCACCTCTGTTAAAAAACCTCTGGGTCTTAAAAACTCAACAAATATAAGTTCTAGCAACATCTATGGAAAGCAGAGCAGTAAAAATGTATTGACCACAACGACTAAAGACGCAAAAAGCCATAAAATACCAGTTTTCACTAAAACATACACAATTGTAAACTCCAAATCCACGTCAAATGCAGCCAGTCAAAAGCAGCCTTTCACAAGAGCGCCCTCTGTTGGCAAGGGTCCATTAAAAACCCTCTCTGCTACTCCTGCTGTTAAATTGTCAAACATCACTACAAACCTATGTACAAATACTGCATCTTCCAATATGGACAAAATTGAAAGTGGTAGAATGATCCATGGACCCATTATTAAGACCAGAACAGGACTGGTGCCTGCAGTGATTGCAACCCAGAAAATCAAAACCACACATTTTGCCCACTGTTAACGACACAAAAAGCCCTACCTATAATGTGCGATCCAGAACTTTGTCACACAGAGCTGTTTCACAAGCATCAGTCACATCTTTGAGAAAAACACTGTCCACAATCACTCTTAAACCTGTGAATAAGATTGTTACTATGACAACAAGGGAAGAGAGTAAAGCACAAAACAAGTGTCGTCCTTTGGCTGCAACAAGTAAAACTGTTGAGAAAGCACAATGCAATACACTTTCAAATAGACTGCAGACATTATCAAGGTGCTCAACAAAATCGGTAAAACCAGATGCAAAGATACAAACTACTAAAGCAAAAGTTTTAGACTGCTGTACAAAACCTACAAATGCTCTCAAAGTAGACAAAAATAAGCCAGGCGTCACAAAACCATCAATCATCATGACAACAAGTCGGGATAATTTCAGAGCACACAAAGTTCCCGCTGCATGTACCCACGGTGACAAAAGCAAGATTTCTAAAGAGATCCAAAACAAGAAAACTTTATCAAAACCATTCCAAGCACCTGCTGTACCAAAAGAAAAGAAAAGGCCCATAGCTCCACAGACCGCTCCACAACCTTCCAGAGCCCAGAACCTCATCAGCCGGACCACTAGTATGAAGACCCCAGAGAGACGAGCTCTTTCTCAGTCTGATGGAAAACCACTCACAGCTGCCCAGGACCGAATGTAAGTTTACTCGCACATTTTCTATTGATTTTAGATAGATGGCAAAGGAGAAATTCAAGTTGTCAACTGGACAAAAGTTTATTTACTACTCTGAAACTAACACACCAACTTGTTTACAGTTTGTTTCTTACCGTCTAGTGTGTGAATGAAACAAAAAAGAATGAATGAAACAAAACACAACTGCAGTTATGTTTTTGAGGAGGTGACAGCATGATAACAAAGATCACAAGATTAGTTGAATAATGTATTATCTTTAATCATGCATCAATCCTTTTCTGTGGAATACGTTTCTATTCAAATGTATTGTTAACCTTATATTCAAATCACGTGGAGTGATAATTATGTATAAATTTGAATTTTCAAAATAATATCCATATGTGTTTTGTAGAAAAAAGCTTCAGGAATGGCGTGCAGCGAAGGGCATTTCATACAAGCGTCCTCCGATGTTCATGAAGTCCCAGGCCAGGCGCACTATAGCGGCTCCTCAGCCCTTCTGGTCCCACATGGAGGAGGAGGATGAGGCGCAGTCTCTGATCTGTGCTGTGGACCGCTCTCTGGAAGACTGCATCAAACTCTTGGGGGAGGTACAGTACCTTTTCACTGTTGTCATGATGATAACAAATTTTGAAGCATAGAAATATTGTGATAAATGATAATACTATCATTACGATAATACTTTATGTCACCCACAAAAGGCAGGATAAGCCCAGTAAAGCAATATACAGTATCACGAGCTGCAACAAATAAATAGCAGAATGATGAACTAATAATTAGTCATCAAAATAATTTATTCTATCTTTTACAGCTCAAAGCTCATCATAGTACAGAGAAATGACTAAAATCTCCCCACCTTGTACAAAAAATGTACAAACAATGAATATGGAAAAAATATTGTTCCAGCTATCATATATTGAAAGATAAGTTGGTATTTTTGTTATCATGACAGGCCTAGTCATGATACCAAAATTTAAAACACAATTTTGATACTAAGGGAATAGACTCACTACAGATTTCAATACCACGATGATAATAAAAACACTTAAATCATAGTACTTACTTTTACATTACCATATGGTCTTGTGTATGTACTCCCTGAGTTGTCCAGGTAGGTTCCTTAGTGGTCCTGTGATTTTATGACACAGCTCAAGCTCCTTCTAAAGCTATTCAGGAAAAGAATGTGAGCTTTTTAGTATTAACACTTGCTCAAATGAATATCTAGTTTCAGTACTAGTTTATAGTATTGGTTAGTATGTATAATATATATAACAATTTTCTAACACTTTGGTGTGCATTGTGCAAAAGGCATATTGGCACTTTTTATTATATTTTATGTTTTTAATAAAGTGTTTTGTACAGTGTTTTAACTATTGCTTAGTCTATTCATAGTTTTTAATGCAATTTATCCCATAAATTCAATCGAGATAGAACATGGGGAGCAGTAGTTAATAGTTGAGTAATATAAATTTTGGTCGACTAAGTCTCGATCTACCGTTTTATCAAGTAAACGACTAAAGGCCTACAGCCCTAGTTGTGGTGAGGAAACAAATTACAAGTTCACAAACAAGACTGTAGCCTTTGCATGAACCCTTAACATTTATGCCAATGACAGTGTTTGTTTTGATGTGAAATTATTTTGCACCACAGGGCTGTCCTACACACCAGGTGAAAGAAGTTCTCTCACGACTACCAGCGATTTCCCAGAAGTTTGCTAAATATTGGATTTGCCAGGCCCGTCTGATGGAGCAGGAGGGAAACCTAGATGTCCTCCCCATGTTTGAGAAGGCAGTTGGTCTAGTTTTGGAGGTAAGATTTTGTCTATCGGTTTTTTGTTTTGTTTTTCTCTCTAAAGCTGCATTGTGTAACTTTTTTGGTGGAGGGTCTGCCACCTGCTTTTCTCTATGAAGATGTTATTGCTTTGTTTAGAATCTTTCACAGTATGGCATTGAAACTTTTCCTTTTTTTAATATTAAATACAAAATATTGTAAATATGACTTTAATACTTTTACATTTCAGGCATTTTGTTCATTACATATGAAATAATAGACAGTGATAATCACCTTAAATTTGTGTTGTAGAAGCATACAGATTTACATGACCAGTGGTGGAATGTAACACATTACAAGTAGTAAAGTAATGTACTTATTTTTTATTTATTATTGTCAAGGAAATCTATCCAAAGACAATTCTGTTAAACAAGAAAACACTCAGAACGACAAAAGTATTTTATACGCAAGGAGAGTTGTGTGGCTGTCTGTCCGCTTCCTGCCCTACTCTGCCTCACACCTCTCTGAGCAGCACTTTTATTTGAAATCATTTCACAGATAAGCACATTTCATGACATCACAATACATATGGTTCACATGTTATCTCATGACTAACAATCTTCATCTAAACCGCCTCGCCATTTCACTCCTGATTACATGTCCCAGTGAAAAGACAATTGTAAATGGCCTTGCTAGATGCTGCACTAGCTATCCAAACAGTTAAACGTAGACCCAGAAGAACTTCACAGAGAGCGGCTGGCTTTGGTGAAATTTACTGGTTCTTTGTCCCGTGAAACTACAACAGCAAACACATACAAAAATAGCCATTAATATATGTGCCAAATAAATTACAAATTACAAAAAGCACCAACAATTAAAGTAACAGTCAATGAATTTAGGCAGTTAGCATAACGGTTAGCATAGCGAAATTAGCATATGAATCGCGGACTAATTTGCATAATAATTGTGTACCAAAAACGTGCTAACTAGTACATTACAAACTCAAAACACAATATTAAAGGTGTACAATCATGTTTCACCATGTAATACTCAGACGATGCTTGAACAAACACCAAAGACTCAACAGAACCAAAGGGCAGCCATTTTGGAGGAGAGAGGCCTGAACAACAACTTCCTGTCTAACATTCTTCTTCTACTATTATTATCACAGGAATAAATTAAAGCGACCACTAGATGGCGTAACTTAGCATTCAATAAACATAAAACAGTTAAATACAGTAAACATAACAACAATCATGTCGCAGTCTTCCATTTAGCATATGATGGGACAACCCCTAGTTGTTGTTTCCCATGGTAGATTAGCTTAAAGAATCAGTTGACACGTCATTCATATCAGCTGCTTGTTTTCATGTTACATATATCTCAAAACAAGACACCCAAACAACATTGATAACTTTTATACAACATCATGATTTGTCTTTAAATGATTCACTCTGTAAATGATTAACACTTTAATGAGAATTACATATATAAATGAGTAACACTTGAATGAGAAATACATATATAGCATAAAATTCTCTAACAATTATACTGTTTTTTTTGTTTTTTTAATTTACTGAAACCTTTCTGTCATACCATCCTCTCTGTCTTGTCAAAAGCCTGATCCTCTCAGATCTCAGGAGTTAAGCAAGGCCAGACCTGGTTAGGACTTGAATGGAAGACCATTGCGAAAATCAGGTGCCACAGTGGGGGTGCCAGTGGCAAAAAAAAAAAAAGTCCTTAGGCAAGACACTTCACCCACATTGCCTAGTATGAAAGTGGTGTGTGTGTGCGTGCGTGTGTGGGTGATGGTGGTGGTCAGAGATTTTTTTTTTTTTTTTCTGAGCTATAAAACAACCTGTAAATTAATAAATTAGAGCTGATTAATGTCATACTTTGGAACTTTCCAGGCAGAGCAATGACACATCCATAGAATCAAGCAGGGGACTGACCCACAATTGAAAAGTGCACCGTTACGTTGCCATGTCTGAATGTGGCAGTTGCTTATAATAATGAATGCCAAAGAATCTTATCATTTTTTTTATTTTAACAGCCCATAGATGAGCTGCGCACTGTGGTGTTTGAGATTTTGAAAAAAAGGGATGACAACCAAGGTAACATTATTTACATCTGTTGTGCTCTCCGTTAAGTTTTGGCACGCTTTCTGTATCTCTGTACAAATTTTTCCCGTTATTTCTGTTTAGGGATGTTATGTGATATTTTATCTTATTTCTTTATTTATAATCACCCTTTTGTTCCTTAGGTAATCTAGTGTTTAGTTTGTATGTTTTAGTTTCTGCTTCTAGCTCTTTACTTTGCCGTTTGGGTACAGTCCATATTTTATGTGGGCTGGTTCACTATGGGTCTCTGCTTTTGTTTGTTACTTTATCTATGTTATTGGGCATGGATTTGGTTTAAGTTCTTTTTCTTTTTTTCTTCAAGTAATGTATTAAAACAATCAACTGATAAACAATTAACCAAGGTAAAATTAAGCTAAGTATTGAACATTGAGCACTAAACACTTTTTGTGTCTTAATTATGTTTTATTCATTGGTCACTCCAGTGCATTCAAGCATTGCTGCTTTGTTCTCCAATGTGCTTCAATTCTTTCAAATTTTGTTTATCTGCTATTTGTGATCTTTAGATAAAGAAACCGAACCAATGGCAGATTCCTGTGAAATGTCTTTAGAAACATTGGACAACCCTGTGACGCCAAAACCTGCCAGAGCTCTGATTTGTGCGGAGAAAGGAAACTCCTCTGTGGTCAAATACAAGATAACAGCCACACCTGGGTAAATAAATAATGTTTTGTAAGATTGCAACGTTGCATAGCAGTATGCAGATGTAATACACTATTTCAAAACTGCATATGACAGATTGGACTACTCATTTCTGCTCATTATTATATTTAAGATTTTTCTTAAATCTTTCCTTGTTTTTTTAAATTTCTGTTATATTAGTGAAGTTTATAGTTTTTTTTAAGACCTATAATATGAGCAACAATTGATAGTTTGACATCAGGCTGGGGGTGTTCCACATGTATCTATTTGTCAGCATGTGAATCTGTTACCATGGTGACCCAGTGCACACATTCGTGGAAACTCTTGAAAAAGTTTCTAAGTCTGAAAACTCAAGAAAAAATACAAAATGAATTTAAACAACACATTTCTAGGATCCTGTGATCCTGGTGCTGTTTAGTGTGAGCTGAGATGAGGTGGGAGTGACTAACTGAAACTGTTGGCTTATGCTAGCTAGATTGTGACTGTAAGATAGATTTGAGCGGGACAGATCAACAAACAAAGCACCAAACTAAACAAAAAAATGTTATATATTTTGTTCTGGATGTTACAAGAATTTTTGAGAGGAGATGTCTTCTGCATTTGAGGGACAGTGGCGGTGCAGCAAATTTGCAGCTGTGGTTGGACCGTCTCAAGTTTAGACAGAAGTTTTTTCCAATTTATGGTCAGATACCAGACTCCAAACAGAACGTAGAAGGTACTGGCTGGTCAGGCAACCAGATTTGGAGGGGAAAAAATCAAATATTTTATTATAATATTTTATTATGCATTTATATTATAACAGTACTTTTATTTAATCATTCATCAATCTTTTTCTGAACACAAGAACCAAAAAGTGCCATAGATTTCTGTTCCAATGTATTGTTCAAATTGTATTTGTATAATAAGGCAGGATATTTGTTCCATTATGTAAATTGCTTCAGCCTTTGCGATTTGATGATTGCCAATGCATGTGTAAAAAAACAGCACTCTGTTCAGAGTGCACATTGTAAATGACTCCAGTGCATTTTCACAATCGATACCTACAGCTGATGTTATCCACATTCCCTGGGGGAGTGAGGCTAAACCGTTGCCATTAGAAATCCTGTTAGACTTAATAACACAATCTGACTACAACAGGTGAGATGATCTGTTTAAAGTCTCTCTTGCGTAAACTTACAGTCATGAACTGACTAGCATTAGCCAACAGTTCTTCAGTTAGTCACCCTCACTTTTTTGTTGAAAATTAAAGAGCTAAATAAGACCATGAACGCTTGTTTTGATCACAGGCTCCTGAATGTGTGCTGTTTAAATGCTAGTTGTATTTTTGTTTTGGGTTTTCAGATCATATTAAAACAATGTTGGCAGTTTTTGCCAATGTGTGCATTGTATCACTGTGGTAACTGTTGAGCATTCTGTCAATAGACATGCATGTAGAACACCACCACTGAGCTGAAAAGTACTCAATTAGCAGTTTTGATTCAGTTTTGATATACATTGTTCATCAGTAATTTTTTATCGATTAAAAAAATCTCCTGTATCTCATTTCTTCATTGCAGTGGTCACCCAAGTCAGCGCAGGGACTCCACTGTTGTGAATGGACAGGAAGTGCGTTTCTTTACTCCGGTGCGGCGCTCTGTTCGTATTGAGAGAGCTTGCACTTCTTTATCCCGTGTCCCTCCAAGACCACGACCTGTGCGTTGCTTCGTACAATGATCTGATCGCTGAAGAGGAGAAGGAGAATGCTCAGCAAAGCCAATCTGAAGGCTCTTCTTCCACGCACAACTCACCCATGTACGTCTATAGGGAGAATGAAGCACTGAAAGATAAGGTGTTTGTACAATATGTCTGCGGTGATGAATGAACTGAAATTGTGCCTTTTTAAAGGCGCGTTGCGGTACTTTTCTGGTAGATAGTCCATCACCTAATTGTCTTCATATCTATCTTTTATTCATTACAGGTGTTTCTATTGCTCAAAAATACAATAATTATCTTTGTTAATAGGGTTGCATCTCCACAGATCTGACCTATAATGTAGCTTATAGTTGTCTTCCTAGAGATGGATAGGTTTAATCTCAACTGTAGAACATCTAGAGAAAACAACATCTCCATGAGGAGGAGCAGGTGACAGACCCTTCACCAGAAAAGTTGCACGATGCACCTTTTAATACATAGAAGGGGCATATTTACCTTGTACAGTATTGTCATGTAAAAACCTTTTGGGGGGGAGGGTTGGGGTGTCTCTTTTCAATACCTTGTTTTAGTTTTTTGGTTTTTTTTTTACATTTACTATAAATGTATCAAGTGGTGTTGTAAATAAAGTTTATTTCTTGCTCTTTGTATTTAATTTGCACTGCGTAACTTTTTGGTGAGGGCTGTATTCTTCTCTCCATGGAGATGTGAATCCTTTGCTTTGTATGTTTTATACAGTGTTAAACTTGGTATGAGCAGATGCCTCTCCACAAATGTGGCCTGTAACTTGGCCTGGAAGTGCCATCTGCTATTTTCCTAAATGCCACAAAGTTACACACTGCACCTTTTAAGGCAGGGGTGTCCAAACTTTTTTCATCAAGGGCCACAAGGGACAAAGAGCGCTAATCGAGGGTCATAGACTGGTGCTACAGTGAATAATTTCAATTTAGAATGAATCATCAATCTTTATTCACACGAAGATCCGTAAAACCACACACTAAATATTAAATAGCTTTATTAAGGTAGATTTTCAAAAAACTTGTAGTAAAAAGTAAATTTTTAATTGATGCAAGGTAATTTGGGTCAAATCACCTGGAAGCCCAGGGGCCAAAAAAAATGTGTCTGAGGGCCGCATTTGGCCCACGGGCCATAGTTTGGACATGGCTGTTTTAAGGGATATTTAGTCTTTTGATTGCTGTTAATGTTTCATGTCATAGCATTGTAACAAGGCAAGTTTACATATATTGCCTTTTTCTTTAAGGCAGCATTTCTGCTTGAGTAAAGAAACAGTATTCTGCTAATGTTAACACAATAGTCAGGCACACTTAACATTACAGGTAAAAATCATAATTAAATTGTAGTTGTCAGGTAATAGGCCAAAGTTTTATGTTAGATATAAGTAGGGTGACCAGATTTTTGAAATTCTAAACTGGGACACACCATGGGTTAGTTTGGCTGGTATGAATAAAATTGTGAAAAGAGCGTGTAACATTGTGGATTCTTCTGTCAGTCATAAAGGTCTTGTCAGTCAACTTCTGTTGCAGCATTTTTTTGCGTTATAGTCATTGACAAACACATTTTTGTTTTGTTTTTTTCTGTATTTTGTCAAAACAAATGATTTTATGCTCCGTTAGAGAATTTTTATGTTATAAGCATTTCTCATTGAAAGTGTTAATCATTTAAAGGCTGATTCATGTAAAGGTAATCATGATGTAGTATAAAGTTATCAACATTTGCTTTTTGTTTTGTCTTGTTTTGTTGTGTTCAAGCTGTATCAGTTGATATAGATGATGTGTCGGCTGACTCATTAAGATAATGTACCAGGAGAAACAACTAGTAATGGTAAACATCATGAGGTTAACATAGGACTCTGGGGAATTACTAGAGGCTATCCACCACCTGGAGTATGAAATCAGTGTGTACTTGGGGGCTGTGTCAGTTGAAGCTTGTCAGTCATGAGATAACATGTGAACAATATGTAATGTAATGAATGTAACCTATTGTGTGATAATTGTGTGATGCTCTACAATAAAAGGGCTTTGGAGAGAAGAGAGCTTCAGTTACGATGAGGCAGGTAGCTCTCTTCTACTCCTTGCGCAAGTAAAACGAACCACTGTGTCTCTGGCTTGTTCTTTAATAATTGAGATTGGGATAAATTCCCCGACATGCTCCTCTTTACTGTTGGCAGGGTCGGGGATCAGATGAGTCAAAAATGTTTATAGTTCTGTTTTAGTCCTGGTTTAGATCAAATTGGTCAAAAATAGGGACACCTGGGATATTTCTTGTATAAAACTGAGATAAATCAGTGGTTTTGAATAAATCTGATGGGACAGGGGACACAGGGCTCAAAACTGGGACTGACCCGGATAAATAGGGACGTTTGGTCACTCTAGATATAAGCCAATTAATCTGATAAACAAGTTGGACCCAGTAGTTCCATGGTTGGACACAGCACTTCTTACCTTGTAAACACTGACCACGTGCTTGTCCTAAAATTCTGGGTGATTTGTTTTTTGTTACTGGGCCAGCAGAAGACGGTTGGTGTATTTGCCTCTGGGCTCAAATAAGGTTGTGACCTGCATTCTTTGTGAGAGTTCTCAGGAACACACTGTTTTCACGTGTTAGGCCAAATAGTGGTGTATCAAACTGATTGCAGCCACACGTTTATATGCTTTGAAATCAGATCTCAAGGTGAAAAAAATATGCTGGATATCTATACAAATATGGACAGGGCAATGTTCTAGGAATAAATGATTGATACCTCTTTTAATGTAAATACAATTTTCAGCCTACAGAGGGTTTAATTTTATACAGCCCCTGAAAATCTAAGTTTAATAATCAGGCAGGCAAATCCATTTTGCCTAAATTTTATCTGTGCAACTCAAAATTATTCTCAGCATCTTGTGTGGCGCCCATGTGCTTGTATGTATGTTTGACAATGTCATGGCACACTCCTATTGAGACGATGGATGGTGTCTTGTGGGATGTCCTCTTAGATCTGTGCAAGGGCATCACTGAGCTCTTGTGGATTCTGAGAAGCAACCAGGCAGCATCTGATGCACCCAAACATAATGTTCCAGTGGTGTTCTATCGAGTTTAAAATGTGAGGGCCATTCAAATGTATCAGTCCCGTCATCCTCCAGATACTGCCTACATACTCTAGCCACATGAGGCTGGGCATTGTCGTGCATCAGGAGGAAACCAGGACCTACTGCTCCAGCGTAGAGTCTGACAATGATATAAGGTTTTCATCCCGATACCTAATCAACCCAATCTGACTGCAGTTTTCCAACCAATAGAGGTTTGTACGTCCCTCGATGGATACGTCTTCCCAAACCATCATTGACCTACCACCAAACTGCTCATGCTGAACAGTGTTGCAGGCAGCAGTACGTTCTCCTTGTTTTCTCCAGACGCTTTCACGTCTATCAGAGGTGCTCAGGGTGAACCTGCTCTCATCTGTGAAAAACACAGGGCATCAGTGGGGACTTGCCAATTCTGGTGTTGTAGCAAATGCTTATGGTGTTCCAAGATGCTGGGAGGTGAGCACAAAGCCCACTAAAGGATGTGACGCCCTCAAACCACCCTCATGAAGTCTGTTTCTGATTGTTTGGCAGAGACATTCACATCAGTGGCCTGCTGGAGGTCATTCTGTAGGGCATGGGTAGTGCTCAACCTGTTGCTCCTTGCCCAAAGGAGCAGATATGGGTCCTGCTGATGAGTTGAGGACCTTCTATAACCCTGTCCAGCGCTTCTAAAGTAACTGCCTGTCTCCTGAAATCTCCATGTTCTGGTGATTGTGCTGGGAGACACATTAAATCTCCTTGCAACTGCCCATTCGGATGTTCCATCCTGGAGAAGTTGGACAATCTGTGCAACTTCTTCTAACCCTAACCCTAACCCTTAAAGAATGGTCTCATACACCCAGTAGAGATAATCACTCTTGCCAAAGTAGCACTAGTGGAAAAACAGTCAAAATAGAAGAAGAGGTTGACACTTGAAATGACCTCCATGTGCAAAACCAGTCCTGTTTTAGGCGTTGTTTCATTATTGCCGCTCTAGTGCACCTGTTGTTCATTTCCATGCTCTAGTGCACCTGTTGTTCATTTCCATTAAAAAAGGCGGCATCTTTTTGTTCCTGACTTTTTTGACAATATAGTTCAAAACTGGCACAGTATCTGATTGTCAGTCAGCCAGCGGGCCTGCATGAAACCCTCAATCGGCTGAGACACAACTGCTTCTTGGGTAGTTTCTATATTTGAACATTTTTAAACTGTTGTTAAGCAAATGGCCTGTGCATAAGACTGGTCAAATGACGCGGCATTAGCCAAAAACAAAATGTTCAGTCACAAAAGTTAAATACCAGTGTGTGTTTCTTGGGTCTGCACTTCTGTCCTGAATTTGAAATAATTTGATTTTTGTTTTGCCTGAGATCTCTCCAGAAAAGCATGTTTTATAATCACAAGATTTTTTGTAACATGCAATACTTTGTTATAATTTTTTCTTGTAATGACCAGTGAAACCAATCAGATGAAAATTACTTTAGACAGAGCCCAAAGAAGTGCACCTGGGGGGTAAGGGGCAGGTTGTCCCATAGCTAAACCCCCCTTTTTTAAAAATAAAATAAAAAAACAACACAAAAAAAAACAGAATTAATTAATTATGTTCACATAATAATAAGGGGATTTTTCTTGTCTCACTGAATCAATTTGACACCATTGTGTTCACTAAAACCCAGTTTACAGGGTTTGGTCAGAATGGCCTGACCCAAATCAGAGGCCAGAACTTCAGATGCCCCAATCATTTTGTGCCCTCAATATAAAAAATATAATTAATTTTAGTTTTTAGGATTATTGATAAAGGTAACTGTGACCCCATGATGGAGTATATTGTCACAGCCGTCCTACCTTATGTGTGATCTCTTGTAACTGTGTGTGTGTGTAGAAGAGGTAAAAGATCAAAAATGTTGCTCTTTCATTTGGTATACATGTAAATTTCTGTTCAATTTCAGAGACAGAGATAGGAATGAAAAAAAGTGTGACAACATGCCCTGGTCTCCCCAAAATGCTTCTGTTTGATAATCCAAACATTTAAGCTACTCAATTACATTACAATTTTTTTAGGCCTAACTTTGTCATTTCATGAAGGAAGAATTTCTATTTGGGTGAAGAAACTGTATCCTGCTTGCTTGGGCGCACACCTGTCGACTCTGCCCATCCATTTGATTTTGCCTGCCTAATTAGTCATCACAACTTGCTCTACTTGTTTTCATTTGTGTTTTAGTTTTCATACCAGTGCTTTCGGGGGCATATACCAGATTGTGCAGTTGCTGTGCTGTTCCTCTGCACCTTTCCAGAGAGTTGGCTTAATGTTAATGGGCATTTTAAGATAAACCCAGCTTTCTTTCAGAGAACTCTGACTATAGTATTATAAATGTATTTTCCAGGAGTGATCCAGCAGCTTACTGGATTGTTCCACAGCTGTTTTGTTTTTCTATTTACATTTTTCTTCCTAATGCATCTCTATGGACGTTTTTATAGACAAAAACCAAACGGCTACTCCTGCATTGTGTAAGTATTGACCATCGTAGTAGAGTAGTAGTAGTATTATTATTATTATTATTATTATTATTAGTAGTAGTAGTAGTGGTAGTAGTAGTGGTAGTAGTAGTTGTTGTAGTGGAAATAGTAGTAGTGTTAGTAGTAGTTATTGTTGTCGTAGTGCTAGTACAGTAGTAGTAATAGTAGTAGTGGCAGTAGTAGTTAGTAGTAGCAGTAGTTAGTAGTGGTAGTATAGTAATACACAAAGGTACATTTAAATAGTAATACAAGTGTGAATGTAATCAAATTAAAACAAGAATAAAGATATTGTATGTATGCAACAAACAAATACTGCTTTGTAATTAAAACAGTGCAGGTGCATACTATATTAACAAAATTAATGACATAATTTTTTAATTTAATATCTAAATTTCATTATACTATTGTATAATGACAATAAAGACTTTCTATTCTGTTCTATTCTATAATTGGGCTCATCAACAAATGCCCCCCTCTCCAGTTTTGATCCATTTTTATGCTGTTTCTATTTTAGGAGAACTGATTGCCTGCATCTTGTCCAGCTGCACAAATGCGCAACAACCTTCATGACTAGTAAAAGAGGCAAATATGTGAAACTAAGCAAAAGGAATGGATTGAAGTTGGAAGCGATTGACATCCCAGACGGAGCAAAAACTAGTATGACTTTAATGAAGTTTTATCCAATTGCCAGCATATTGTATATTCTGAATAGGCCTGTTTTCTATAGGGAACCTGGAGGTATGGAGCTATGATGACAAAATTGCATTATGTTACAAGTATGATAACAGTGAAAGTTATGTACTTTCTGTGGAAGACGATGAACTTAAAGTAGGCTATGTAAACATGAGTAGCCTAATATGTGTTGTTAAACCACATCTAGGCTATTTGTTTTGCATAATCTCTAATGTGTTTATGGACTTTGAGTAGACTTTATTTTATGTTTTCAGTTCACACTATTGGAGCAAAACACGGATGATGCCGTTCAGGAAACTTTAGAGAGGATGAAACCTTGGTTTCAAATGGAAAATGCTGGAAGTCACAATTGTATCCAGGAGGCATACTCTAAAAAGTTCCTTAAAATAGAAGAAAATCGGCGACGCATTACTCTCAGTGCTACAGTATGTGTTTGCATTTTGTTCTTAGGCTTTATCAATATGAGTGAAGGTAAAACTGATACTCTCTTATTTCATTTCAGCAAACCGCAGAAAGCACCTTCAGTATATCTCCATGCTCTTGTAATAAAGTAGGGTGCACTGGTTTGTCCAGCTATGGGGAGACACGTACTACTACTAAATGAGGACAATCAACAAAACTGTCTGCTTTTAATTTTTATGTCTTTGTACACTCTTAAAGACTGTTCTTTTCTGTAGGATATGTATACATGACAAGTCTCAACTATAATCTGTAAAAGACTGATCATTTTACTTTCAGTCACATTTTACTGTATGTTTGCTGTTCCCTTGACATTTTAATTATGAAGCAAAAGGGTGAAAACAATAAAGTCCAGAACACATTTAACATGAGCAGTAAGTGTTTTCTCTGCTTCAGCTATTATGCAATATTAATTCCAGCTTCGGCTTTCTGACTACACTGTGTATACTGGTACTCACTTGAGGTGTGTCTGCCCTATGAGGACAAAAATCAGACCCCTAGGTAGATCTATTATTAGTAGAGCTACATGATTGAATGTCAATGTAATATCCTGCTAAGGCATGGAGACCCAACATGTTTAACATTTTTATTATTTACAAAATGCGGGTCCTTGTGTTTAATGTCTACATGTTCATGGAATTGTGTGATCAGTATTCAAGTCTTCTTATTGCTCAGTATCCGAGTCAGAACCATGGATTCTGGGGTTTTGAGAGTTTATTTCATGGACCTCTTAAGGGTATCTGTGCCCAAGAGGGTTGTTTTTTGAATAAAGACATTGCGACCTTCTTGGGTATAACTATAGACTGTATACCAGGGGTGGGCAATAATTTTTTTCCATGAGGCCACATGAGAAACAGAAAACATTGTGGAGGGCCAGGCCAAAATGCTTAACTCAATGCAGCATGTTAATTGTATTTCTTTATAAAAAGCAGCAAATGACATTGTTTTGATAAGCTGGTAAGACTGGTAAGTATAAGTTATGATTAAGCAATGAAAAATCAGGTTGACTTACAAAAACTATCGTTAAAATAAAAACAAAAAAGCACCGCTAAAATAAAAGCAATGCAGCTTCAGTCTATGCATGAAATAAAATGATTAAATACTGCGACGGTGGCTACGTGAAAAATACGTGAGAATCAGTGCAGGCTTGCGTCCAAAACACGCTCCCTCCCGAAAATGACTCCCTGCAACTAACCACCGCGACCAAGTCCATAGGTCGCTACAATATATTTATTTTTGTAATTCCAAATGATCGTTAAGGGACCGGTCAGAGTCAACCAAAGAGCCGTATGTGGCCCGGGAGCTGTATACAGTCTATGGGTATACCCTACACACTTTGACAACTCTCATCTCACATCATGGCTTTCATTATTATTATTATTATTACTATTAGTAGTAGTAGTAGTAGTAGTAGTAGTAGTAGTAGTAGTAGTAGTAGGCTAGTAGTAATCATACTAATCTTTTCAGCCTTCGCGTATCTATTACGTCAAGGCGCAGCCCACCATGTACTAGCCTGAGCCTTTAAATAGTCCAGCGCCCCTGCAGCTTTCCATAAAACATGTTGCTGCGCAGTGGAAGAGCTCCTGTGCACGTGCATTGCTCCCCTCTGGAGCTCAAGCGACCCTTGCGAAGATCACGGTCCACTTTTCTCACTCATAATTATAACGGGTAAGTGTCGACCCCTTGGCTTGACACACAGACTGCTAACAGTTTTTAAAAATCAAGCCTTTCTTACTGAATTTGTGAATATTTGCCTATGTTTTCCTTTTAACCCCCCAGTAGAAATGCTGTAGTCAGCTTTCAGTGCGCACTGAATGGTGACATTTGCACGCCTCATAAATGCGCAACAACTTTCCTGAAAAATAAAAACGGCAAATACGTGACACTATCCAAAAAGAAAGGATTGAAGCTGATAGCGACTTACGTTCAAGATGGAGCAACCGCTTGTAAGTCTCATGAATTTTTAATCGGTATGGAAGTTGTGTCTGAGTTTTTGAGTCTGAATTGAGTATTTTTGTCTTGTAGGTAACTTGGAGATATGGAAATGGGACAAGAACATTGCATTCTGCTTTAAGTATGAGAGTGAAAGCTACGTGGTTACTGAAAGTGAACAGAAAAAAAATGAACTTGAGGTATGGAAACATTCAGTGAATATTCCCTTAAGTTATAATTGATAGACTTGGTGATGTTTTAACCATTATTGTCCTATGTTTGTTTTGCAAAATTATAAAGTCATGTTTTTATCGCTTTGTGTTTTTCCTTCACAGCTGAAGCTAATCACGGATGATGTCAAAAGTACTATCCAGAACTTACATCCTTGGTTTCAAATGGAAAATGTTGGAACTCACTCTTACTGTATTCACACGGCAAGCTCTAAAAAATACTTAACAATAGGTACAAAAAAGCAAAAGTCACTCATTACCCTCAGTGAAACGGTATGGTTTCTAAGTTTGTTATTTATTTAGGCTGTATAATGAATGAAGGTAAAACTCATACTCTTCTGTTTCTTTTCAGCAAGCTGGAAACAGCACCTTTTCAACATCTCCCTGTCAATGTAATGAAGAAGGGTGTCCTGGGGTGTAAGTCTTGATGTTGAGGTCTTAGTGACAAATCATTTAGTCATAGTGGCGACTGGCCAAAGTATTTTCTGTTGCATCAGCTGTTATTACGCAATATTAGCTTATGCGGGTTCAATTTAAAAATTTGTACTAAATGAAAGCACTTGTGCTCATTGTATGCTATATTTACAGTTCTATGTAATATGTAATATGTAATGTGATTGTACTTGCATAAATGTGTCCATACTAAATAAAGCTTAAGACAATAATAACACTTGTATAGAGCTTTTTCAAGATACTCAAAGATACTTTACACGAAGAGACAAAGACAAACAAAAAGTTAAATGATAGATGGTTTTAAAGATAGATTTGCATGGCATGTTTAGGTATGGTGAGTGTGGATGAGTCTGATGTTTGGACAGGAGTTCCAGACGGCAGTTGGAGAGAAGTTGGATCAATGCCTTTCTCTGGTCATTGATTTACAGACCTATTAAATCTGACTTAGAGCTGAGCACAGTACACAAAGGTGTGATTCCTTGGCACCACAACATTAGTGAAGTCTGCACGTGTCTGAACCTCCAGTCTATCTGTGTTCAGTTTGGACTTCCTGCTGATTAATTGACCTCACTGGCCTTTAAGTGATAGTGACTGTTATCTGTTATGGAAATGTTGTATACTACATTCCTTATCATTTCCTGTGTCATATGCAGCATGACAAAGTTAAAGTAGTAAAGTACTGTACTAAAGAATACATTTTAGGTATTTGTACTTAAAGGTGCTTTGTGTAGGTTTTCTGGTGGAGGGTCCGTCAAATGCTTTCCTCCGGTATTACTTTGTCTGGAATGTTTCACAGTATGGCATTAATTTTTTTTTTTTAAACCAGACCAAGTTACAGGTTAGAACTGTAGATCCTGGTCAGAGTCAGAATGTCTTTTCTCTAGGCATTTTTGAGCTATGAAACTACCTGTAATTTAATAAATGCTGTTTAATGTCATACTGTGGAACATTCTCGACAGAGCCATCTCCATGGAGAAAAGCATTAGATGGACCCTCCACCAGAAAAGTTACACATTTCAATGAAGGTGTCTTTACTGTTTACTCCACTACATTTCTGAGCAGAACTGAAAAATAAAAGTATGTTCGATTATAGTTTGCGACCTGCTAAAAAGGTTGAGGAGTTTATTTTAATAAATTCATTGTTTGAGCAAAAAAAAATTGAATAAAATCAGCTGGGAAAATACTTTAATTCAATTGTTTCTGTTGAACAAAATTCAGCACAAATCTTTATTAAAATCACAGCATTTTAAGCTTTATTAGATCTCAAAATCTGTGCAAAAATACTTTTGCTTTTTACTCTTTAAGTAAATTTTTACAGATACATTTTACATTTTACAGGTACTGTAATAATTTTACTTAAGTAGATTTTTTCATCTGATGAAAAAACTTGCTTTTACTTGAGTTTTTTTTTTTTTTTTCCTGGTATTGGTGCTTTTACTTAAAGGTGGGTCCGCTCACTATGGACATGTTATTGCTTTGCTTGGAATGTGCCACAAAATAGTAGTAGTAGTAGAATCATTTTGAGCAATAAAAAATACACTAATTGATGAATATAAGATGAATCCGTTAAGGTGTACTGTGGAATATTCCAGACATTATCACAGAGACATGCAGGTGGCAGACCCTTCCCCTGGAAAGTTACACAGTACACCATTAAGTAACAATCTGAAGTACTTCTTCCACCACTGGTCATATCGTGTACCGTATGGTGATACAACATAGAACAGTGTTTCTCAACCTTTTTTAAGCCACGGCACGTTTTTTACATTGGAAAAATCTTGCGGCACACCACTAACCAAAATGTTACAAAATGACACTATACAGTATATTTAATTACAATATAATTTCTATATTAATTTCTACTTACTCAGTGTGAGACCTGCGCCTGTTTAGATGAACACAAAGCTGATATCCTGGCAGGAATAGAAGAAAGACACACACGAAGCTCTTCATCAACAGCTCTCAGTCTCTCTCTGTTTTTAGTTTTTATAGCAGTTAAGCTTGAAAAGCTCTTCTTCTGGGTCAGAATCTTGTCCAAGGCCCAGTTCGGAGTTTGCATTCGTCCGTTTTAAAAACTTCTCCATGACTGTCACCACGCACATGCGTTACTAATTCTTTTAAAGCAGGGGTGCTCACACTTTTTCATCATGTGAGCTACTTACAAAATGACCAAGTCATAAAGATCTACCTAATACAAAACCAAGCAAACTGCACTGAAACACTCTGTGCCCCTTTTTTGGACCCTCCCCCACAGTTTGAGAACCCCTTCTTTAAGAGAACTTCCTCTGGCACTTTACACAAAACTGTGAAAAAAGTGAAGGAAGATTTTTAAACCTGTTTTTTAAAGTTCCAAACTGGAGTTGCACGTTTACCAACATCGTGACAAACACAGATGCATTTGTGCATTTTTGTTAAACAAACTTTTGCTTCATGTTTCGTCTTGCTCTTGCGCACTGTGGAAACGCCTTGTGTTCGCTGTACGGAGGAAGGAGCGAGAGCGTGAAAAGGCGAGGGGCGGCGTGCTGACGTGAGGCAGATGGACAGGTAGGATGTTTAGGAAGTTTAACCTGCCCTGTGATGCACGCTGGTACACGAGGGCACACGCTGTTGCAGACAAGCCGTGCGTAGGGAGCGTGTGTGTTTGTGATGTGCCGTAGAGTTTCTGCGGGCTGCACTGAGCGCACAGGCTGCACGCGCTGGCACACCTGTTCAAGTTTATTACCAACAGCAGCGGCAGCAGCGGCCGTAATGAAATATGATCGCACTTGTTGAGTGTCAGACCTTGAGTGACAGACAAGACCGAGTCCAAACGCGAGTCCGAGACGAGACACGGCGATCTACCCACACGACCTTGGCGATCGACTGGTAGATCGCGATCGACGTATTGAGCACCCCTGTTTTAAAGGAACGAGGCAATTAACTGCCTGTTGCCACCCGGACAAATATTAGATCACTCTGCCAGTCATTATATACTACACTGTAGTATAGTGTCCGTGCTGTAGTAAGTACAGCACGGACACTCGACAATGACATAATGTTTGCAGGTAATAATTAATAAATTTTAATAAAAAAAAAGTTATATTGGATAATTTCTCACGGCACACCTGACGATCTCTCACGGCACACTAGTGTGCCGCGGCACAGACCGAGGTGAAGTTAGTTTTACGTTAGACGTTCGATATTCAGTTACGCATCAACAGCGGAGATGTTCATTGCCTGTGCCCCGCTTGCTCGATCACGGTGCGGGGAGCTGTACACCAAAGCTCCGCTGAGTCCGCGGGTTAGGGACCGTCAATAAATTACCAGTGCATTGAATGGAGTCTGCTAAAATATATATATAAAGAAATAAAAAAGGGATTTATAAAAAAAAAATAAAAAAGGGTTTTATGAAACATTTGTTATTTTTATGTATTTTGAGAGTTAGTTAATGCATTTTTTCAATATCTTCCAGGTCAATTAATCTATAAACACCAAACCAAGTTATTATAGTAGTCTTACTCCTCCGGTATCACGCACACATTTTGGTTTTCCAAATTAACCCTTTATGGAATTTTTAGGAATTTTTAATCTTGAAAATCTGTTATTTTTTTCAATAGCTTCTAAGGTAGATGACCTACCAACTCCAAACCAAGTTATTATAGTAGTCCTACTCCTCAGGTATCACGCACACGTTTTGGTTTTCCAAATTAACCCTTTGTGGGATTTTTAGGAATTTTTTTCCTTGGAAATCTGTGATTTTTTTTCAATAGTTTCTAAGGCAGATGACCTACCAACTCCAAACCAAGTTATTATAGTAGTCCTACTCCTCAGGTATCACGCACACATTTTGGTTTTCCAAATTAACCCTTTGTGGAATTTTTAGGAATTTTTAATCTTGAAAATCTGTTATTTTTTTCAATAGCTTCTAAGGCAGATGACCTACCAACTCCAAACCAAGTTATTATAGTAGTCCTACTCCTCAGGTATCACGCACACCTTTTGGTTTTCCAAATTAACCCTTTATGGAATTTTTAGGAATTTTTTTCCTTGAAAATCTGTGATTTGTTTGATTTGGTATCACGCACACCAAAATGTGTGCGTGATACCTGAGGAGTAGGACTACTATAATAACTTGGCTTGGAGTTGGTAGGTCATCTACCTTAGAAGCAATTGAAAAAAATCACAGATTTTCAAGGAAAAAAATTCCTAAAAATTCCATAAAGGGTTAATTTGGAAAACCAAAATGTGTGCGTGATACCTGAGGAGTAGGACTACTATAATAACTTGGCTTGGAGTTGGTAGGTCATCTACCTTAGAAGCAATTGAAAAAAATCACAGATTTTCAAGGAAAAAAATTCCTAAAAATTCCATAAAGGGTTAATTTGGAAAACCAAAAGGTGTGCGTGATACCTGAGGAGTAGGACTACTATAATAACTTGGTTTGGAGTTGGTAGGTCATCTGCCTTAGAAGCTATTGAAAAAAATCACAGATTTTCAAGATTAAAAATTCCTAAAAATTCCACAAAGGGTTAATTTGGAAAACCAAAAGGTGTGCGTGATACCTGAGGAGTAGGACTACTATAATAACTTGGTTTGGAGTTGGTAGGTCATCTGCCTTAGAAGCTATTGAAAAAAATAACAGATTTTTAAGTTTAAAAATTCCTAAAAATTCCACAAAGGGTTAATTTGGAAAACCAAAATGTGTGCGTGATACCTGAGGAGTAGGACTACTATAATAACTTGGTTTGGTGTTTTTAGATTAATTGACCTGGAAGATATTGAAAAAATGCATTAACTCTCAAAATACATAAAAATAACAAATGTTTCATAAAACCCTTTTTTATTTTTTTTTTATAAATCCCTTTTTTATTTCTTTATATATATATATTTTAGCAGACTCCATTCAATGCACTGGTAATTTATTGACGGTCCCTAACCTGCGGACTCAGCGGAGCTTTGGTGTACAGCTCCCCGCACCGTGATCGAGCAAGCGGGGCACAGGCAATGAACATCTCCGCTGTTGATGCGTAACTGAATATCGAACGTCTAACGTAAAACTAACTTCACCACGGTGCGGCACAGTGGTTGAGAATCACTGACATAGAAGAATGCTATGAAAGAAAGTATGCTATAGAGCTCCTGCAATTGTGGTCATGCCATCCCGGCATGCACCTCCAAATCCCATAGGGGCAGTGGTTATGGCTGAGAAATCCCATAGAAATTCCCACCGAAACTA